GTGTCCGACAATCAAGTACTTAGCATTTGGGTGCGAAACCCAACCTGGTCGTTTGAGCTTCTCTTTGGGGATATCTATCGGCGGCACCTCATTGATGGCTGCGGAGATCTCAGGATCGGGGTGCTCGACCACTGGATCTCGTTCCTCTGCTGCTCCTGCGAAAGCCTCGGCCGGCCCTATTGGGCGGCAGTTTTCTGAAAACCCTCGGACAAAATTGGTCGTCCGAGAGAACCTGAGGCTTCCTCCTTAGTGCTTGGAGCGGCCATTGCTCCTCCCCCTAGCACTGGGACCATACCTCTCATTCTACACCTTAGTCTTTGACCATTGGGCGCAACAAAGTAAGGCGGCCTTTTGGGGTACCAGTGGAACTCATAACCGTCCTCCATGCACCTTCTGCCTACGGAGCAAACAGGAGGGGTGCTGTTGAGAACATAGAACTCTAGCTCTTTGCCAAACTCCGGGAAGTCGATCCTAACCGACTTGTCACCTTTGACGTTACCATTAGCAGTGATGAGATTCACTTGTCGTGTTGCATTGCCTACTGGCTCTTCGCCGAAGTACATAGCACGATCAGCTTCGCTGATAAGGTCCTCCTCGCTTCCTGTGTCAGCAAGGAATTCTAAGGGTGTGGCGATCCCTGGACAAGCGATCTCTGAGCTCTCAACGACGTGCTTGCACATCCCACATTAGAGAATCAGGCTCATCACACTCTAAATGGCAATCGGTCTTCTCTCCCCCCTCATGCCGGGCAAGAAGCATCTTGAGTTCCCTTGCGTTCCTAATTGCAACCTGAAGGTCGATAGCGTCAGGCTTAGGGCAGTTTTCCGCATCAGCATAGCAAGTATTGTACCTGCGAACTTTGTAGGAATGTTTGTACCCCTTTCCCTCAAAAGGGATTTCCCTGACTTTAGGTTTGTCGCAAAACCTGACCTTCTTGTTTTGTTCTTTGATCTTGAAAACAGTCTTGCCGGTCCACGGCATCCTATCGCCGGTTCCCCCTCTTCCCTCTTTCCAGTCCCAGTTCTCCTTTGCAGTGTATGGAGAAATGGGAAGCGTCTTGATCACTTTGGCCTTACCCTTCAACCTTTCAAGAGCAACAGGACATGACACTTCGGGCTTGTACATAGTACTTCTGTACTTCAGATGGTGCCTAACAGCTTCACCCCTTTTGAAGTCTACTTCCCAGTAGTCTTCGTCCCCATCTTGTGGTTCACTCTCATCAGGACCAGCTGAGGCTGCAGCCGCAAGCGAGATGCAGCATGCGGCCTTCCTATCCTTTTCCTTAGAGCGTCCACGGCTTGGTTTCCTGCGCGTTGGCGCGGGTGACGGGGACCTTGGTTTGTCTGGGCCCTTAGGGGCCGGGGCTGCGTTTTCACCACCTGGGGGAGTAGGGCTCGGTTCCCTATGCAAGAAACGACACTTATCTCCCCTAGTGCACTTTCCCTTCTTCCAAAACGTGCAGACCTGTTTCTTCTTCGGGGCAGTGCGAACAGGGGATTGCGAACGGGGTTTGTGCGAAAACTTGCACTTGTCACCCCTGGTGCACTTACCCTTTTGAAAGTCGTAGCAAACTGGCTTTGGGCTTTGCGATCGGAGGTGATCTAGATCTGGATGGGGTCCTAGAGCGAGACCTTGATTTTGAATTGGACTGGCTACCGGCAGAGCGATCCCTTCCGCGGCCGCTCCTCGACGGAGGGCGTGTCGGCCTTCCGCCTTCAACAACAGGAGCACCAAACTTGTCCCCATGAGACTTGGCGATTCTATCCCTGTTCTTGCGCATCCTTTCACGGGTCAACAAATCCCGGATTGACTTCAACAAGAACGCATAGGAATGTGAGGCAGAACCCTCTTTCGCCCTGTCGTAGATTTCCAAATCATACTTCATTCTTGAGGACTTTCGGATTTGCCGAAGAAGGATATCACGCAGAACCATTTCTTCTGGGACATGACTCATGCCAGCAATGACTGATTCCCAATTGTGCAGAAATGTGGTTAGATCGTCACTATGCAGTGTAACCTTCAAAAGGTCTTCTACCGAATAGAGCGATCCTACCTCTTCATTTGTTTTGAAGTACTGATCAAACATGAGCAAGACCTGGCGTCCTCGCACGGCACGTCCTTGAACCGCCTCGGTTTCCTTGAAAGTGAGTACCTGTCGAGATAACTCACCTTTGGCGACCTTAGTGAGCGCGGCTAGGATTTTGGTATCCAGCGTGAGAAACTTACCGGGCTCACGAAGCTTGTCATGATCAGCATTCTTAGAATACACCTCTAGAATCCAAGAGAAGGCTTCATCTGGTCTATCTGAAGCTGCCCTAACTGCTTCCCGTGTTGCGGTTTTCCATGCACGGTAGGTTTCGGGGTTAGGGAAATCCGGCAGGCGGATGGTTTCAGCTTCTTTAACCTTTGGTTTGTCATCTTCACCGCTTTTGTCTCCTTTAAGAAGCTTGGCGGCTTCAAGCAGCGCTTGCTGCGTCTGTGCGATTAAATCGGCTCCTGTGGCTGCCGGACCTCCCGGCGTGCCTGTTGGGGCCGCAAGACCAGGGGCTCCGGCGTTCAAACCACCACTAGAGAATCCTAGATTCGGGACGTTAGCTGATGCTGTTGGGGTCCCTGGGGCAGAAACCGGACCCTGTGGTCCTGTTGGAGTGGCAGTAGTTGCCACACCGCCAAAACTGAAGTTTGGAAACAATGCCCTGATGTTCATCGGAATCACACTCGGATCTGAAAACTGAGGGGCACACGGAGCACTAAGCCCGGCGCTTGGCGCTGGAGCAACTGGGGCAGTGGCGCTGGGAAGCTGAGCTTGCTGCGAGGGATTGATACCTAAATTCCTGTCCTGTTCGAGCTGGAGCGCACGCTCCATTGATGATAATTCATCTTGGAGGGTCATGTTTTGAATCCTCATTTGCTCTTCAGTTTCCAGGGCTATACTGCGGTACCTTTTCATTGCCTCATCATGCTCTCTCCCAAACCATTCCCCAATCTCGTTAATGCTTTCCCTCTTGTTTTGTTCAGCCTCTTCAACCAGAGTTGTCCTGAGACGTGTGATTTGCGAACCAACATCGGAAAAATGTTCTGACTGAAAATTGATTATCTGGCTTTGTTGCTGGAGTTCTGAAAAGAGACCTTGGGTCCTCGCGACAAAGCTATACCTTTGGCTAGCAATTTCAGACTCAAGTCTAGCAACGACTTCCTCGTGCTGCCTGTTTCCCCTTTCTTCAACATCTGCGATTTGTTGATCATGGGCTTCTTCAGCAGCTAGGCGGAACCTCTGGTGCCTGGACTCTGCTTCGTTCTCTAACTCAGTGAGGAGAAGTCTTGTTTGTTCAGGTGTTTCACCTATCGTGATGTTCTGCTGAAACTGTTGTCGGTACATGTGGATCTGCGGAGCTCCTAGTCCTACGAAAGGAGAAGGTGCGTTTGGCGCAAACACATTAGCTGCTGCTGCATTCTCTTCCAGCACTAGGCCACGGCCATCCGTAGACGGTGGCATAGCCAAAGTGCCTGAGAGGTCCATCTCCGCGGATTCTGCGTCTGTAAATCCGTCTGTACCGAGATCAGTTGCTACCTCGGTGGGGACCAGCTCGGGGCTGTCACCCATGCACTGAGTTGAAACTCCAGGTCAGTGGTGCCGCAAGCTCCGGGGAGCCTACGGCTGATAACCTATAGTTTGGGAAATCCACCAGTTGTTATCCGTTAAGCCATGAGCAGGGGCGCGCCTAACCTTTTTACTCAGAGGGCTTGAGCGACACAAGTAAGTGCAACATACATGTAAGCAAAAGTGGAGGGAATGCACAGATATAAAATACACATACTTCTGAATTAGGGTAGAATACTTACTTAAGGGGCTTTTGGAAGATCTGGGTGTGTCTTTTGAAGGCCCCTGAACCCTAAGCCCTAAGCAAGCTTGCTTGTGGTTTCTATACTCCCCTTAGAACCTTAATAAACATATTCTTTCGAATATTCCATTAAATTGGGTTGAATATTTATTCCAAATTGAAAATTCCTAAGGGGGCTATAGGTTTGGGAAATCTGATTGGGGTGGGCAGGGCTGGAGGTTTGGGTCAAGGTGTGCAGAACACAAAGCGTCACTGCAGCGTGCGCGATGAGACATAACATAGACACACACACAGACACAGACACAGACACACACACACACACACACACACACACACACACACACACACACACACACACACACACACACACACACGCTCTTGGAGGTTCATGGGCACTTATCAGCAAGCAGGGTGAAGAGCACCCTAAGTCAGGCTATATATAGTCATGGTTACCCTACTTGAAGCCTGCATACTGCAAGTCGGGTTCTAAGTGGTGTGATTGTGACAAAAACCCATGAGCCTGAGCCCTCTAAGTGTATTCTGCATCCAAGCCCTTGAACCCTAATCCCCTAAACCCCCAAACCCCCAAACCCCTAAACCCCCAAAAACCCTAAACCCCTAAACCCTAAACCCTAGGGAACTGAGCCCCCAAGGCAGACGGCAAGCGCCAAAGCCCAGACGAAAAGCTGACGATGCAAATGACCGAGCAGAAGCCCTTGCTCATCTCATACAAGTTCTACAAAAACCCAAAAAGTTAAAGTCCTAAGAGCCAGCCAGAAGAAAGCCAAGGAAAGGGGCAAAAGAACATCTGCCATGCAGCTGCAAGACTTTCTGCTCCAATAACCAAGGCGAGGGCTAAACTTCATTAGGGTTTAGGGTTTAGGGTTTAGGGTAGGGTTTAGGGTTTAGGGTTTACTTACAACAACAATAAGGAAACCCAAAAAGCTTAAAGTTCAACTATTGGCTAAGTAAGAAGAACCTTAAACCCCAAGAAATTGGGGGAACTTGCACCCTGAATGCCTAGTTGCTGAGTTCATAAGCCCCAAAAAAGTGCACACGTTCAGTTCTATCGGGGGTCATAGTATCCCAACAAGTGTAAAGTGTACTCACTCAACCCTAAACCCTAAACCCTAAACCCTGAATGTCTCTCCGAGGCGCAGCGTCAGCAGTGAGAGGTAAGCGGTGCGGATTGTGGCCGATGGTGACACCTTCCCGTCTTCCCGTGCTCTAGGTCTGGGGACCACGTGAACGCAAAAAAATGAGGTCATATACTGACATATGATTCCGATTAAGTAGATTTACATGAACCCCAAAAATTGAGGTCATATAATAAAATATAATTCCTGTTGAAGTATTTGAAACATAAACCTGCTGGGGTTCATAACCCTCGAGCCACTCGGGTTGAGGGTTTATAAGCTCTACATGGCACCCAGCCCAACACCCCTCAATTGAGAAATAGACCTTAAATTATTATAGGGATCCTGAATCTGATTTCAGGTCTATGCCCTAAATCAGGGGTACTCGACTCTTTGGGTCTACTCATCTCAGTCTAAGCACCAGAGCCGACCCAACTCCAGTACCCCCCTATTGCAAACCCTATAAAAAACAAGGGCCCACACCTCAGAATCCTTTCAAGTAGTTAAGGGGCCATAATAAGGGCCCATGAAGCTACCGTTAGAAACTCCGGAGCAAGCCGAAGACCCCTACAGGGCTGTTTTTTTCGCGCCCTAGGCATTACCCGAAGAACCCAATACCAATTTTATTGTAGGTTACCCAAGAATCCTACAAGGGGTTTTGTGTTAAGAACCTACAAACAAGTAGCTTTGGGTTCTGAAGGTAGGCCCACCAAACGCAAAGATGCCCGTTGCAGAAGAGACACTCTCGCAGGTGGCTCCAAGGGACTGGATGGAGCTGGCCTCAGGGGGATTTGGTGGGCTGAGCTTGAACAGCGGCCCAACACCTCTTGGAGTTTGATCTTGTCGGTCCATTGCTCAGCGCGCAAAGCTCTGCTTACCCTTTTGCAACGAGCTTGGCTGTGCTCCCGCCCGGTTTGGCTGTCCCAAAACCCTGCATCCTAAACCCTAAACCCCCCTAAACCCTAAACCCCCCTAAACCCTAAACCCTAAATCTAAACCCTGAAGCCTATGACGCATGGGGCCCCTCGATCGTTGGCTGGCGGAGGTTCAGCTAACCCCCCCCCAATGTTGACTCCCATAATAAAAGTTTGTTGAACAAAATTTATTGGTATATATTTAGTGTATTTATTGGTAATAAATATAAATTATTTACATATGGTAATAGATATACAGAAGTAAAAAAGATGGCTGGGTGGTGGGGTGCTGCTATAGGGCGAGCTTTTTCTCTATAACCTCTTGGCTCAGCGCCATTCGACTTCTGGGGGCGGCAGGAAATCTAACCTCTTGAACAACTGCGTGCGGTTGCTGCTCTGCACATTCTACAGCCGCCTCAAGCAAGAATGGTTCAGGGCTATTTTTATTTAGGCGCTTAGGGGTTTCGGGCGTGCGGCTTTACGGCTTTTGAGGGCTTACGGGGAGTGAGAGTTGGCTTCAGGCTTCACTGTGTTTTGAAGAAGTCACGCCTAACTTAGGTGGAGGTCGGGCTAAACCGTAAACCCTAAACCGTGTAGGGAGGTCAGACTCTCCCGAAGGCCAGGAACTACGAGACCCCTGTAGCTGCCTGTTCATCTTGCTTGCCACGACTTTCCCGCCAGGCTTTGGGGTTTGGGGTTTGGGGTTTGGGGTTTGGGGTTTCGGCTTTAGGGTTTAGGGTTTAGGGTTTAGGGTCTAGGGTCAGAATCTTCCAAAACCCCTTAATTAAGGAGTATAACAGTATACCCTTATTCATACTAAGGATCACTATGAATGTGGATATATTCCTTACCTGGGTTGGCCTTTAAACCCTCTGAAAAATATCTATATATATATATATATAAGGTCCCTTATACAACCCCCCCATAAGGGAAATGAAAAACATATCCCCCCAAACCAACCTAGTTAATTAAGAGGTTTTGGTCTGGGTATCACAAGACAAGCAAAGTCCAGGAGGTCCTGTCTGGGTTCAGTTTCCAAGGTACCCAGAGAGCCCACGGCCAAGATTCCGCAGACAGAAAAGCCCCTTGCCCTATCTTATGTGTATATATCATATATCATATATATATATACACATTACATATATATATATACATACATCATATGTGTGTAATAAATGTATATATGTAAGATCTATAGATATATAAGTTATATATAGGTCTCCTCATTCTGAAGCTATATTCCGTCCATACAAGGTATTGGGCCCTTGAAGCCACCGAAGAGACTAAGTCCGCAACCTGGTTCACGGCCATGCAAACTGACCTTAGCAACATGCCGTGGAAAAAAAAAAACTAAGCCCCCAGCCCTATAAACTTATAGACCCTAAACCCGAAACCCTAAACCCTAAACCCCAAACCCGGATTTAGGGTTTAGGATTTAGGGCACGGGGGTCTCAGAATCTGGTCTTACGCTTACGCTGCTAGGGTCGACTCGGCAGTGGATTTTTCTTGGGTGTTTGCTTCGGGGTTCTTTGGTATTGGAACTGGTTAAGGGTTCAGGGTTTAGGGTTTGGGTTTAGGGTTTATGGTTTAGGGTTTCGGGTTCAGGGTGATTCTACTACTGTGGGTTTGGAGAAGCCTGCCACGGACTCCATAAGCCCTATAAACCCATGACAGCTACCTGATGTGTCCAGTCGGGGTGAGCACCAGGGATACTCGACGGGACTCTCTGTGTGCTTTTTTTTGGGGTTTAGGGTATAGGCTTAGGATGAGGGTTTAGGGTTTAGGGTTTTAGGGGCTCCCCGAAACTAGGCCCATGCAGGAGACCAGGCAGGACACCGGCGCGAGCGAGGAGCATGGTTGACGAAAAATCTAACAACCACAGCGAAGGTGGGGAAAAATCAAAGCAGCTTCGGCAGAAACCCTGCTTGCCGGAACCCTAAACAATTATGAGAGTTATGCACCCCTACGAACACCCTGTCCACACCGCCCGTTTACGAACCCCACAATGAAACCTCATAAGACCCAAACCCTCAACCCCAAAATGCCGTCACAACCCTCAACGCCCTAGACCCTGTTTGCTCAACCCTCAACCCCAAAATGCCTCTAACCCCTACCTAATCTTTGCTTAAGAAGCCCCCTCCCCCGAAAAAATAAGATACTTCCTTATAAAGGGAGCAGGGATGATAAACACTTCATTTTGGGGGGTCATTCAAAAAACCCTAAACCCTAAGCCTAAACCCTAAACCCTAAACCCCAAAACCCCAAAACCCCAAAACCCTAAACCCTAAACCCCCATGAAACCCTCGCTGAGTGCTGGGCTGCTCCGCGCTGCTCAGGGCCGTAAGACGCCCGTCGGGTCGCCCGCAGGCCAGGAGAGTTCCACGCACCACCCGATGAGTCATGCCTCACACTGGCTGACTGGTTAGGGTTTAGGGTTTAGGGTTTAGGGTTTAGGGTTTAGGGTTTAGGGTTTAGGGTTTAGGGTTTAGGGTTTAGTTAAACCCAGACCGAAATTGGTGTCACAAGCCCGCCCTGAAGCTTACAGCTGATAGCTTGCTTGGGCCGACCCTAAAAACCCAAAACCCACCTTTTTGTAGGTTCTTATTACACACCCCTTATAGGATTCTTAGGCAACCTACAAAGCAATACATAGGTGTTGGGTTCTTAGGGTAATCGTCTTCTTCGGACCTCTGGCCCAGAAGCTAACATTGAGTGTTGACACACTCTCCCTCCGTATCATAGAATCTTCAAAGAAAGCAATACCTGACTTCCCCTAAACCCTAAACCCGAAACCCTAAACCCTTAACCGAGTTGCGGTGCACCAAGTGGTCAGCCGGGTTCGCCGAGAAGACTGTGAGGCCCGTAGCGCTGTAGGTGCAGGCCATGAGCTTGGAGAGGAAGGACTCTGCAGATTGCGCCACCCAAGGTATATCACCTTGGGGTTTAGGGTTTAGGGTTTAGGGTTCAGGGTTTAACCGCTCACACTCCGACACACGCCAGGCTTGGGGTTGCTTTGCCCTCCTGCACAGCTGGGGCAAATCCGCATCGCAGGGCGAATTTATGGTTTAGGGTTCATGGCTCGGCTTGCGTGGGGAGTTCAAGGGTTCAAGTTGCCCTCTCATGTCTTGAGTTTAGGGTTTAGGGTTTAGGGTTTAGGGTTTAGGGTTTAGGGTTTAGGGTTTAGGGTTTAGGGTTTCTTGAACACAAACACATGAAGAGCACTTCTGTGACGACGTGTACCGAAGAAGTCGCGGGGTCCTTGCGAATCGTCTGAAATTCCCTGGAACCCACGCCAGAAGGACACCCTAAAACGAGAGCATAGGCAACCACATCCAGTTGGTTAAATCAGAAGACCCAAACCCTAAACCCTAAACCCTAAAAACTGAGTAAGCTGAATCGGCTCGTCACCGATCACCACAGTGCGTGTCGTCATACGATGCAGCAGGGGCCGTTGCTGTAGCAGCCGGATGAGCAGGATCATGATCTGAGGCAAAAACACCTTCAGGTCCCACTGAGACATCCCCCGCACCCTAAACCCCCTTTTGCAACTGGCCTGCGAACAACTAACCCTAAACCCTAAACCCTAACCCCAAAACCCTAAACCCTAAACCCTAAACCCTATCCCCCCCCCACCCGAAGCCCTGGAACCTGCTTTGGCCCAAAAACTCTCCTGGCTCCCTCAAGATTCCCCAAAGAGCCCCAATATTGCCTAATTTAAGGAATCTTCCTTAAATCATATTAGGGATCCTTAATATGACTTAAGGTTTCTTCCTTAATTAAAGGATGTTGGGCTCTGTGGGTCCATGGAGCAGGAGATTCCGACCATGGGACACCGAAGTGGGGGACAAGTCGTCACTGGAACAACTCATTGAGATCGGGGTGTTCCCCCTTATGCTAACAGCTCCTTCATGGGGATGATAATCGGGGGGGGGGGGGGAGTTTCTATAATCCCGATTAAGGACTGTTAGGATAAGGCGGAACATCCCGGCATTCAGACATCATGGTCATGGCCGAATCATGACCAGGATGCATAGATCGTGGCATCGAGGAGCTTTGCCAAATAGATCATCTCCTGCAACTGGAAACCCTAAACCCTGAACCCTAAACCCGAAGGCAAAAGAGGCTTCCGCCAGGTCGCTTGCGCACTTGCATACCTCTTGGACCGACCGTTGACACCCTCATGAACCCAGATCTTCCGCACGGCTCCAATCCAATGGAAGTCCAGGAAAGCATGACGTGTGTGTGTGTGTGTACTGACAAGCTGGCAAACTGGTGATCGCGCCTACACTCCAGTGCAGCCGAAAAGCACACTATATGACTATATGGACTGAACCTCAGTAAAGGCAGGGGCCAGGGGGTGTGCACCGTCCTTCTCCAGCTTCGTGCCACGCACGCCAGCTTCGGCACAAGAGGTCACCGGCGCGCTGCCGTACACCACCGTGATGAATATGTAAAGAGCTGCCAACATCCAGGCCCGCGGAACCCTTAGTAGCCCAGTAACCATATTATAACAAGGCCACCCTTTTTTGGGGTAGTTGGCTACTTATAAGGGAACCCAGAACCCAAAACAAAAAAAGGGTAAAGGGTATCACTAAGGGCGACCAGGAATCTCCAGCACATGCTGAGCCCAATGTCTCCCAAGTGAGCGCAGCTCCCTGGCGATTTTGTGCTCCGGGCCCCCGGCGATGGACTTGAGTGCTTGGATGTTCAAGCCTTGGATGGCCCTTAGAACCCACTGAAAAATACTTCTGGAATGGGATTAGGATTTAGGATTTAGGGTTTAGGGTTTAGGGTTTAGGGTTTAGGGTTTAGGGTTCAGGGTTTAGGGTATCCTCTTAAACCCCAAAAGAGGGAAAATATAAAAAAATGTCCCAAAAACCTACCCAGGAGCGGTTGTTCTTCTCCAGCTCAGCAAGGTCCATGCTCTTGATCCTCTTACTGTTGGTTAGTAACCCTAAACCCGAAACCCTAAACCCCAAACCTTCATTCCCCACTAACCAACTGTACGTCCTGCTTCCGGCGGCGATGCTCAGCTTCCTGTTTGACACAATCTTGCTGGCGATGTAGATCCTTGCTTGAGGCTCTATAAGGGTAGTTTAGGGGTTAGGGTTTAGGGTTTAGAGTGGTTCCATGGGCCCTTAATCCTTGCTGTTAAGGCGTTCAAGCAGGGACCCCTAGAAGGGACCCTTCATCTTTTCCCCTGTTTATCCCCGATATGTACCTGAACTACCCAAAGAGCCCAATATTGCTTAATTAAGGCATATTCCTTAAATCATGTAGGGATCCTTAATATGATTTTAGGTATATTCCTTAATTAAGCAATATTGGGCTCTATTGGGTAGTCCTACGTAGTCCCTATATACCAAAGTAGCCCCTAAAAAAAACCCAGATAACCCCATAAGGTCCCCTTATAAGGGTCCCGAATGAGGCCAAAAAAGGGTACACCCAGGGGTAACCTCGGAATAAAAAGGGCAGCCTTTTGGGTTTTAAGGGATTACAAGGGAAGCCCAACCCTAAAAAAAGGAAAGAAGGGCCTACTCCGGGTCCTAGAAGGGTACTTTCATGTGCCCTTGAAAAGGGCGCCTTGCCAGAGGGTTCTGAAGTAGTGGCTCTTGGGAGTATTTATACGGGGTCCCCTTTTAAAGGACACCAAAGGGGAGCAGGATGTGAGCAGGATGGAGCAGACATCAACAATTTTCTCTTCCGCCTCTTCACTGGCGAGGGTCGCAGACGTGGCCATCGAATTCCAGGCACGTGCACGTTTGGGAGTTTACGAAAATAGGGGACCCCCATAACAGACCCCCCAATAGTAGGATTCGCTGAAAATCAGGACCGCAATAAGGTACCGCTTAATTTCGGAAACCTCCATTTGAGATTGAAGGGGGGACAGCTCTGTGCTCTGCAACCGTCAACTGTCAAGGACCTGAGAAAAAAAGGGCACGCTGACCCCCCAACGGTATCTCGCGAATGCTAATAATTACCTCCAAGACGACAGGGACCCCGATACACATTCCTGGATGCTGCTGAGCCCTCTACACCCTTTGATCTCTGAGCTCTAAACCCAGTAAACCCTAAACCCTAAACCCTAAACTCACGACGCAAGGCCAATCAAAGCCTTGGAGCCCCAGTCGCGGAAGGCGCCTGAGGTCCCCAAAAACCCAAAGAGCCCAATATCCCTTAATTAAGGAATATGCCATAAATCATAATAAGGATCCCTATATGATTTAAGGTATATTCCTTAATTAGGGAATATTGGGGCTCTTTGGGAAACGAGCCCAAGAAACGAAAATGTCCTCGCCCACCAAGCCCCGACGGTTCCAGCAGTGAAGTCGATTTGAGGTTTAGGGTTTAGGGTTTAGGGTTTAGGGTTTAGGGTTTCGGGTTTTGAGGCTGGGTTTGTGCGGTCCACTGCGAAGCCTATTTTGACTGCGAAGGTGAGCCTCAAGATGTCAGCGGAGTGCACGAAACTCGGATCCTATGGAAAAGAACCCAGATCTTCCTAAACCCCTTAACTAAGGAATAGACCCTAATTCACAATAGAAAGTATAAAACAGACCCCTGAATTGCGGAATATATACCCTAATTCATAATCATGACCCTTAGTACAAATTAGGGTATCTTCCTAAATTAAGGGGTTTGGGAAGATCTGGGAACTTAAACAGATATGGCATGACCTCGGTTGTACTTTACAGGGTGCTAGAAGAGGACTTTACAAGGGTTTAGGGTTTTAGGGGTACTTGGAGGTTCAAGGGTAGTTGTAAGTAGGGTTAGACGTATGGAAACTACGCTTATAACCCCTCACTCAGGGTGCTTAGAACCCTACTAAGCACTACTGTACCCACATGGAAGGACTCGGAACGGCTTCAGGGTTGAGCGCCTTTAAGGTTCGTTGAGATTCAAGGGACTCTCGAGAAGAGACTGGTGGGCGTGGAGGAGCGCGTTCCTTGAGATGGCGCAAGCTTGCGAGAACAAGGCATGCGCAGCAGTTCCATTCAAGCACGAGATTATCTTTCCTAAGAGGGCCCTAAAAGCCCTCTGGCAGATAGTTTAGGGTTTAGGGGTAGGGTTTAGGGTTTAGGGTTTAGGGTTTAGGGTTTAGGGTTTAGGGTTTAGGGTTTAGGGTTTAGGGTTTAGGGTTTAGGGTTTAGGGTTTAGGGTTTAGGCTTTAGCCAAAATAGAGTCCTCTGAAACCCAATCAAGGATCTGAAATGTCACCAAGGGCCTACCGAGTTTCGAGTTGAGGGATCCGGGATAGTCGGGCGACCTTGCAAGATGATACTACGATCGAGCATGCCTTGCCTCTCCTGCGGGATGGGACCCGAATAATGTTCGTGGTACAGAACAAGCACGCTGTCGCCATGCAAGTGGCTGCATACTGTTCGAGTTGTTGCACGTTGTGTGGGTCTTGCTGACCCCGAGACAAGGATACAAGGCCGCCTGCATCACGCCACACCTTGCACACAAGCCTGACATCTGTCGCAGGCAAGTGTGAAGCTGCCGCCTAACACCCCTAAAATTAAACCATTCTGACTTTGGTAGTTGGACTCGGGCTTGTAGCTCTTAAGGCGGATCGAGCCGTGAGACGGGCGCATGCATGCAGCTGGGACTGCATGCGTGGATTACCTGTGAATCCCGACAAGCTTACACAGACCGACGTAGCGTTTCCATCGCCTGGCCAAGGTGACGTTGGAACTGGTCGCGGTGCAATCGATGAGAGGCTGTGCTGAGTAGGGCTCCAAAGGACATCCTCCCCATCACTTTGGCAACCTTGCGAGTCTTGGTGTCCATGGCTGATTCATCCAGCTCAGCAACGTCCGCGCCCCCTGTCCAGAAGCGCAGCTCTTCTTCGAAGATGGCAAGAACGCCGGCAGCCTCGTCCGCCATGCCGGTCACCACAGCACGCTTACGCAGGAAGTGCAACACCAAGGTAAGGAGCTGCGCCTTGGTGATCTCGTCCAGTGTGGAGCGCTGCCTCCTGTCCAACTTGGGCTCGCGGTTGGGGTGCGGGTAATGGCAGAAGGTGCATGTAGCACCACTCTGACAGGAGCTGTTGTTGAAGTACACGCATGGTCGGCGGCAAAGCTCGGGATGCCCTAGACCCCCTTCGCTGAAGGAGCCCAGAAGTGTGGGAAGTGTGGGCGGGGGGGGAGGGGACAAGGCTGGCACTTCGGGCTGAACCTCGTCACCTTCAGCTGCAGCCGGCTGGGCTTCATTGCCTTGTGCACCTTTTTGGCTGACCTCTTGCGAGAGCTCCTCCAAACTCCGGGACAGCTTGTCCACATAGCCTTCCAGCTGTCGCTCCTCGAGCTCGGCGTCGCACTCCAACGTCCTCCTGTACGTGGCCGGAGCAGAGGCGGATCGCACAAGTGAACCTGCCAGCTCAAACGGGTCCTCGTGGACGTCGATGAAAGTCCCACGATACTCAAGCTCCAACGCCATCAGGCCGCTGAGCCCAGAGACTCCAATATCCCTTAATTAAGGAATATACCTTAAATTATAGTAGGATCCCTAATATGATCTAAGGTATATTCCTTAATTAAGGGATATTGGAGTCTTTGGGAGTATAACTTGACAGCGCAACTGATTCCTGCAGCTGCCGACAAGCTATGTCAGCAGCTGGGCCTGATGATCGCCACACGGCCCTACGCAGGAAAAGGCTTCAGCCAAATGTAGCATTTTCACCCGTAGATGCAAGAAGTGCACACCCTCACAATACATGCAGAAGAAAAGGCAGCATGACTTAGAACAGGAGGTCCCTAAACCCTAAACCCTAAACCCTAAACCCTAAACCCTAAACCCTAAACCCTAAACCCTAAACCCGAAACCCTGTGTAAACCCTAAACCCTATCATCGCCGCGGCGATCCCCGGAAGCTGCTGATGTGCCAACTTGTCGAGGGTCAAGATCTGCGTGAGCATCTGGTGTGTGGCCGCCACAGATAGAGAGCCTGGGTTTACGGTTTAGGGTTTAGGGTTCAGCTGTTCCCGAAACCCTTGATTTTGCTTATGAACTCCCCAAAACAGCAGAGGCCTTAGGGCTTATTTGCTTAAGAACCCCCACCCCCCCACCCCCCCCCCCGAAAGCAGATGATCATCCTATATTGCCCTTCTAAGAAAGTTTTTTCATTTTTCTTTGGGTGGGGGGGGGGGGGGGGGGGGGGGGGGGGGGGGGGGGGGGGGGGGGGGGGGGGGGGGGGGTGGGGAGTTCTTAAAGTCTTCAGTAAATAGAAGAAACCCAGCCTACACCTGAAAATTCCAGGGCCACTGATGAACAGATAACCTAAGCCTGTTATATAGCCTCTTAGAACAAACATACATATAACCTCCCTAAACCCTAAACCCTAAACCCTAAACCCTAGACCCTAAACCATAAACTCTAAACCCTAAACCCTAAACCCTAGACCCTAGACCCTAAACCCTAAACCCTAAACCCTAACCAAAAAAAATGATGACTTCTTTTAGTGTTCTAGGAGCAGGGCTCGGCTGGGCGTGGCCCGGTCTCTGTGCTGAAAACGCGGCCCGAGGGGACGTGAAGTTGACGCAGCTGCTTACCGATCTGCGTGTCCTCTGGGTTTAGGGTTTAGGGTTCAGGGTTTAGGGTTTAGGGGTTAGGGTTTAGGGGAGTTGCAATTTTCAAGCCCAGAACAACACACTGATTCTATGGATGTCAACTGCTCAACATGAACTTTCGAACTGCCGAACAATCCCAAACCCTAAGCTCTAGACCCTAAACCCTAAACCCTAAACCCTAAACCCCTAGCTACCTGGGACTCTATGAACCTGAAGTTTAGTAGTAGCTGCCCTTGATTCGTAGGTATAACTCATGAAACTGTAGGGAAAGAGGGTCCCAGGTAAACCCTAAGCCCTAGACCCCTGATGTAGCCCTAAACCCTAAACCCTAAACCCTAAACCCTAAACCCTAAACTCTCGATGTTCAAGAAAGAGCTTGCGGTCCCACTCGGAGGTGACAGCAAAGATGTTGGGGGTCACGGACTGCAACCTACACTGAACTTGGGACCCTGGCAAAACATTTAGATGTTAGCTGTTTCTTAGGGTTTATCGTACCAAAAACTAAAAATATTCCTAAGCATCAACAGTTATCATTTGAGCTGTTTCTTCGGAATGATCGTAACGAGAAAACACTCCTACGTATCCCTAAGTAACAGGTTGGACAAGGCGAGTGGGGCAAAGGTACCGCCACTGTGGCTCACGATCAAGACGATCGAGTCCTGGCAAACAAAGACGCTCAGATCCGGCGTACCCAATCTGTCAAGCACTTAAGGGGTATGAGGAAGGACCCCTAGAAGGGGCCCTGAATCTTATTGCCGAATATAACCCCCATATATACCCTATATACTGCTTACATACCAAAGTAGCCCCTAAATAACCCCTGAGGTACCTCCCTAAACCCTAAACCCTAAACCCTAAACCCTAAACCCTTCTAAGGGTCCCTCCTTGGGTCCCTTGAATCACCACACACGAAGGGGCTCACTCACTACTCGCTCTCTCGCTCGCTCTCTGATTGCATCTCCATCTCTGTGTGTCTGCCCTATACAAACCCTCAACCCTTTTTTCCAAAACAACCCTCAACCCTCAACCCTCAACCCTAAACCCTAAACCCTAAACCCTAAACCCTAAACCCTAAACCCTAAACCCTAAACCCTAAGCCCTGTCTCCCTCCCTGAGGCTGTTCTCACTGCCTGACCCTCAGGGCTTACCGCTCACTCTTCTTGTCTCTGTCACTCTCGACCTCATGCTTTCGGGTGTAGAAGTTTAAGGTTCACTCTCAGTCTCTCTTTCTCTTCTACCCTCTATGCAAGTATATGAATCACCGGCGAGTGTAGGGATGTCTGCTCGCAGTGTCGCAGATGCTAAGCCAGGCCACACGGCAAAAACAGATGGATATCTGCCCACAGTACTGCGTTAAGTACGCAGACAACGGGCATGCTCTGGACGCGAATCGCGTTCGTACGTGTAGGGCCTTTGGCCAGCATGATGTCTCCAACCTGTACAGAAGGACAGCGTAGAATAGGAGATCTGCTCGCAGAGATCTCGATTGCCAATTGTATGAAGGAACAAGATCCAACAGCCACCAGATGGCTTCAGACAAACCCCCGTGTACTCTGAAAAAAGAAGAAAGGTACTCAACAAGTCTTGATGGTGTATCGGGCTGGCCTTCTGAACTAAGCTTTCGCGTGAATTTCGTCCCTAAGCCCGTAACGTAACCTTAACCCTGTAAACCCTATCAACCCTATAAACCCGATAAACCCTGCAAACCCCATGCACCACAAGCACTAAACCCTAACATTTCGTCCCTAAGCCCTAGACCCTATCATCCCTACTACAGAAACTCTCCCGCCTGCAAATCCCAACCCTCGCCGATCTCGTGGCCCGTCTGAGGCATCGGAAATTGCTGGCCAAGCCTGAGCCCCCCAGCTCCGTGGAGGTTCATGGGTACCTAGATCTTGAAAAACCCCTTAATGAATATACCCTAATTCATAATAATAATCCTTTGTATAAACTATAGGGTATGTTCCTGATTTAAGGGGTTTTGGAGGTTCACTGGGTGGTTAGAAGTGCGGGCTCATTAAGTTGCGATGCCAACTACACGTATAACCATATTTAGGATCCTACTGATAACTACCCATGAATCATGAACCTCCAAGCAGGAGACCCCCACAGCGGATATCTTGAAGCACCCGAGCTCTGAATTCTACGTCTTCATGGTGCCCGCAACCTCCTGCGCTCCCTCGTGGAGAGGGAATGAAATACAAGTAGCAACAGTAGAGGTCGGGATATCAATGAGAGTGTATGCTGTGAATTGCCAGCTCCAACTTGTGGTTTAGGGCCCACCCCAGCAAAGTATAGAAAGGGCTTACCTGAGCTTCTTTGGGGGGGGGGGGGGGGGGCCCGAGGTTGACCGTTGGGGTCTTTTTGGTTGTTCTAACACTCCCTCCCCTCCACTGCAGGCTACTCACACGACCCTCAACTAAACCCTATAAACCCTATACCCTAAACCCTATAAAACCTATAAACCCTAAACCCTATAAACTCTAAACCCTAAACCTTACACCCTAAACCCTAAACCAAACCTAAACCCTAAACCTAAAACCCCAAACCCTAAACCCTACACCGCGTAAGCCGATGAATGCCAAGGCGCAGCCCTAGGATCTTATTCGCAGAAGCCGACTTCACGACCAGCTTGGGAAAGCAGGTCCTCCACACCCAGAGGGTGCATGGGTTTAGGGTTTAGGGTTTAGGGTTTAGGGTTTAGGGTTTAGGGTTTAGGGTTTAGGGTTTAGGGTTTCGGGTTTAGGGTTTAGGGTACTCTCATAAGCCATACTAAATAGGGTCTTGGGGTATTTCGCTCCACTATGTAGGGTCTTGGGGTATTAATTCCACTAGTCGTGCTACAAATGGACACTCTGGGATACCAGGCTGGTCTCTCAGTAGGTTCGTTCAGATCTGTAGAAAGAAGAACCCAAAATTTTACAAAGCATAACTGTCATAAACATCGTACAACGAGTGTAGCAACAGTTGTAAAGTTACCACAGAACAAGGATTTACTAGCAACACGAGCAAGAGTATGCAATGCCAGAGATGAGCTTCTTGTCCAGAACTCCCCGCAGAATTAAAAGTGTGAAGCGCCAAGTTCTAGCCCAATGTTGCTGCGTAGCCATTTTTGAACCCCAACCCTGAAAACTCTACACCCCAACCCTTACAAGAGAGACACGGCCATGTAAAGAAGAAGGCCGCGGAAGCTCCGGAAGCCCCGAACCCAAAAAGTCCTCAGGTCTGCGGCAAATTGCTCGCCCGCCCACAAACTCACCTCCCAGATTTCAGTTCGCACTTCGGCTTTAGGGCTGCGCCTGGGTTTAGGGTTTAGGGTTTAGGGTTTAGGGTTTAGGGTTTAGGGTTTAGGGTTTCGGGAGTAGGGTTTCGGGTTTAGGGCTGTTCGTAAGAAACTTGTAGCTCAACTTTTTTTCAACCCTTGGGCTGTCAGAGTATTGGCTTGGGGGGCTTTGGGAGGGGCCTCGGCATAGAAGGCTAGAATGTCTGGAGGGGGTGACACACAGCTGCAAGTCAGATTCCTGATTGAGGCAACCCCCCCCCCCAGCCCAGCCCCCAAGGCCTCGGCCCTATATTCCCGGAAGCTAAACCCCTGTCTGCCACGGGACTCACTCAGCATTTTGCTTCCCGCATAGGGTCCTACACACCCTGAGCTCCATCACCCACCCAGGTCTCCCAACAGCTGATGCGATGACCTGGCTTCAAGACCCGAAATTCAAAACCTTAAGCCTTACAAAGAGGGGCCCCCTAGTTATGAGTAGAGGTATAAGGACCCTACATTGGGTTATAAGGATCCTAAATTAGGTTACAAGTCCCTTAACTACAGTTAGTATAGTAAAGGGGCCCCCTCCTTGTAGACCATAAGCCCTAAGGCGCTACAGTTGGGTATCAGAGCCTTTCTTCCTGTTGAGGGATATGAGGACTTTGTAGGGTTTGGGGGGTTAAACCCTAAACCCTAAACCCCTAAAGCTACCCAAAGAGCCCAATATTGCTTAATTAAGGAATATTCCTTAAATCATATAGGGATCCTTAATATGATTTAAGCTATATTGCTTAATTAAGCTATTTTGGGCTCTTTGGGTAAACCCTCAGCCTCGCAGCCAGTCACCAGCAGGTCCACAGACCCAGCCGCCAGCTCTCCCGCTTGCTTGCTCTGAAGACGGTTCTGCAGCACCTCTAGATCTGAACCCTAAGTTACAAGGTTCTTATGGGAGGGGGGTTTAGGGTTTAGGGTTAGGGCTTAGGGTTTAGGGTTTAGGGTTTAGGGGGTTCATGGGGGGTGGGTACGTTACCTACCACCCCTTGAACCCCCCCTCCCTTAAGAACACTATGATAAACCCTAAACCCTGAACCGGTTGCCAAGAAACTCCTAAGGGTCCATGTACCCATACTACGATTTGCTTCCGAACCCCTCAAACAAACAAAACACACGTTCTTCCTTATTAGGGTCATATAGGGATTCTCCTGTATTGGGGGTTCTTATGCAAACGGTCGTACATAGCATATAAATATACATTGGCCTGTAAAGCGGTTCACATGTAATAGCTTTAGGGCCCAAGTGTATACTATAGAGGTGAACGGGCCCTTAGGGAACCAGTCTCTTTTGGGTCCCGTGTTTATGGTACTAGCCCACACTTGGTGTCATCCGGTGACTTCTCTAAACTATGGTTCCTTTTGGTTACTACTTCAAGGCGGCCCTTCTTATTCAGGGCACCCAAAAACAGGTGTAGGGTTTAGGGTTCAGGCCTTGAGAAGTGACCATACGTCTAGGAACCCTAGACCCTAGACCCTAGACCCTAGACCCCAAACCCTAAACCCTAAGCCCTAAACCCCAAACCCTAAACCAAGCCCCCTGGCTTCTCTCTGCAGGGCCGAGGAGTGCGAAGTTCCGCCCGAAAGGTGGGGTTGGGAGAGCCTGGAGCCTGTAGAGCCCTAAAATTTAGGGTTTATAGGGTTCAGGGTTTGGTGTTTAGGGTTTATGGGCAAAAAAACCTTGCACCTGCAGTCCAAAAAGCCCTGCTCCAAATCAACTAAACCCTAAACCCTAAACCCGAAATCCTAAACCCTAAAAAGAGAGAAGTCTCCGGTGCCGCACCTCGCTGAGCGCCCGAGCTGTGGCCCGGGTGGGCCGGCCCTCTGCCCAAAAGTGGGCCTCCACACGGGTTTAGGGTTTAGGGTGTGGGGTTTAGGGTTTAGGGTTTTTGGGGTACCCTAAATATGAGGGTCCGCCTTAGAATAAAGCACCCAAAAAGACCATATGGTAACTTCTCTAACATACGGTCCCTTCTTGGGGGAGTCCTTATTCTAAGGCGGACCCCGATTTTAGGGTACCCTATAGAAGGGACCAAGTTAGGATAGAACTCACCATATCTAAGGGTAGCTACGTGGTCCCTGAATATGGGCCCTTAACAGGGAAACCCTTTTGACCAATTTGTTACCCTCTCCCAAGGGCCCATGCATAGGGTTTAGGGTTTAGGGTTTAGGGTTTAGGGTTTAGGGTTTAGGTCACGAGTCGAACAAACCACCAAGAATCAACTAGGGTACTGTAATGGGTTTCGGGGGTTTAGGGGGCATCCGAGTTCAACCAGATTCCATTTGCTGTTTGAACCCTAAACCCTAAACCCTAAACCCTAAACCCTAAACCCTAAACCCTAAATCCTAAACCCTAAACCCTAAACCCTTCTGAGAGCGGAGTCTTCAAGCACAGCGATTCTTACCGCAGGCTACACCTTCTCCTCTGCTCAAAACCAGAATCCCATGGGTTGCCCTGCTACCCCTTTAGGTCCCCCCCATAGTTAAGGCTCTTTAAGGATAACTAAGCCTAATCAAGGTTATTTCAGGGGGGAACCTAGAGGGGGTAGTAGGGGGGGTCGTAGGGAAACCCATGAGAATCTCCCAAGGAGCCTCGATTGGGTTTAGGGTTTAGCGGTTTAGGTTGACAAGGCCGGCTTGGACCAACCCTAAACCCTAAACCCCAAACCCTAAACCCTAAACCCGAAGCTGTTCGCACCTGGATGTTTGCCACAGCCTCTGGGATGTCGTGGATGTCTGCGCCCACGGGGTCCTCTCTTCAACAGCTGTTCGCCCCTCCCCTTCAAGCAAGGTTTAGGGTTTAGGGTTTAGGGTTTAGGGTTTAGGGTTTAGGGTTTAGGGTTTAGGGTTTAGGGTTTAGGGTTTAGGGTTTAGGGTTTTTGGTGTTTTTTTTTAGGGTTTGGGGTTTATAGGGTTTAGGGTGCGACCGTGGGCAGCCTGGATTGTGAACTTTCACTGAGGGCTCAGGGAGGGTGGTCCCTTTTCGGTGTAACCGACGGCTCCGAAGTAGAATAAGAGCACAAAAGGGGACCCCTAAACCCTAAACCCTAAACCCTAAACCCTAAACCCTAAACCTCCCAAGGGCTGGAGTCCTGCTGGCTCATGGGCAGCGGCTGCACCAAGGGGTTGTCCTCGATCGGCACAAGGCGGCAGGGCAGGCTTTTCTGCGAGAAGCAGTCCTGTGCCAGTGGGTTTAGGGTTTAGGGTTGAGGGTTAGGGGTTTAGGGTTTAGGGCAATGAGAGTTGAGGGCATCGGGCATGGGATTTGGGGCTTGGGTTCGAGTTGGTTTCGGCTTATGGCGCTTGGTGCAGTACTGCAGGCCCTGTCTGGAGTCTGGAGTTTCCAGGGTTTTGGCGCCATCCTGCACCAGCGTGACCGTCATACTGTGGTTCATCACCTGGGCACAGCAAATGCTTGCCTTAAACCCTAACCCCTAACCCCTAACCCCTAAACCCTTTTTGAACCCTAAACCCTTTTTGAACCCAAACCCTAAACCCTAAACCCTAAACCCTAAACCCTAAACCCTAAACCCTAAACCCTAAACCCTAAACCCTAAACCCTAAACCCTAAACCCTAAACCCTAAACCCACAACCCTAAACCCTAAACCCTAAACCCTAAACCCTAAACCCTAAACCCTAAACCCTAAACCCTAAACCCTAAACCCTAAACCCAAACCCTAAACCCTAAACCCTGCAAAGTTTAGGGTTGAAGGGTTATAGATCGCAGCCTGCGATTGCAACACCTAGGCACCCCAAGGGCCCGCAACACGCTGCCCCGAAGCCCCCAGGCTGCCAGCAAGCCCCGGCACCAAAAGGTTTCGGGTTTAGGGTTTAGGTTTAGGGTTTCGGGTGGTTTTGGCCCTAAAAAACTACCAACAGGCGCATGGAGAACTAAAACCTTTCTAGGGATTAGGAGACATGCCCTGAACCCTGAACCCTAAACCCTAAACCCCAAACCCTAAACCCTGAACCCTAAACCCCAAACCCTAAACCCTAAACCCCAAACCCTAACCCCTAGGGTCTCAGCCGAAGTGGCCGGCTGTGGAGGGAAGGTCTCGCTCACAGTCGCCGAGGGCAAGCCATGACCCCAGTCCTCGGAGCCATCGTAAGCCCTGGTGTGGGCCATCAAAACACGACGGGGACGGGAAATCAACAGTAAACCCTTTTGAACCCAGGCTCTGAGCATCAGCAACAGTAAACCCTAAACCCTAAACCCTAAACCCTAAACCCAAAACCCAACAGGGACCAAGAGGCCAATAAGCAGATCTCGCCCCCAAGGTCATCCAGATCAAGCCGCACAGCTGGACCGTCGTTCAGCAAAGACCTGCTTCTGCTTAAGAACCCCCCCCCCCGCCCCTAAACAGGGTCTAGGGTTTAGGGTTTAGGGCTACTCTTTGCTTAAGAAGCCCCCCCCCCCCCCCCCCCCCCCAAAAAAAAAAAAAAAAAAACAAAAAAAAAACTTTGAGTCTTCATCCTTCTCAGTCTTGGGATGCTCCCCCCCCCTTCTACTAACAGACCTTAATAGGGATTATTGTACCCCTTATTATAATCCCCATTAAGGACTGTCATAAGGGGGAACATCCCAACTAATATCCCCTAATTAGTGAGCCCTATACAACTTAAGGAAAATTCCTTAACTAAGGGGTGTAAAGGGCTCTCTGGGCTCGGGATCGTCTCTTTCGTAAGAGGAGGCTTCGTGTCCATTTTGGGAAGGGGCCACTGGAACCCTGTGACTCTCAAGCCAGGGAAGAGAGAGAGAGAGAGAGAGAGACCAAGATAGAGACGAGAGAGAGAGAGAGGGAGAGAGAAAAACAACAACAAGAAAGAGAGAGAGAGACAGAGAGAGAGAGAGAGAGAGAGAAAGAGACAATGGAGAGAAGGATGGCCCCCGAACCCCTTCAGAGCCCACCTCACACGGCTCTGAGCCCACCTCTCACGGGCCACAGGAGCCTCGAGGTCGGCACTTGCCGGGTCACTCGTGGGCACGGCCGCCGGGGCGCGCACCTCGGGTGGGATCCGGCCTCTTTCTTCGGATTCTTCCCTGCCTCTCATCAAACAATCTAATTTAGGGGCCTGAATAAGTAGAATAGCGTTTTGGGGATAAAAAGGGGAGAGTTGCAAAGGGGAGCCATAAGAGAATATTAGTAGTACCTATCCCGGCCCCTATATTCCTGCCGAAAGAGGGTTTGGGGTTAGGGAGAACTTCTAAAGGCCCCCTACTTGGAGGTTCATGAGTGTTTAGGTTTTGGGGGGGTTTAGGGTTTACGGTTTAGGAGAGTTATATGTAGGGTTGTAAGTCCCCTAGGTAGGGTTATAAGTATAGTTACCATACATATAAACCTGCTCCGAACTACCCATGAACCTCCAAGCATGAACCCTAAACCCTAAACCCTAAACCCTAAACCCTAAACCCTACGGTGTTGGGGCTGTACGTTTTGTGGGGTGGAGGGTTGAGGGGCTCTGGAGCAGCCTGAGGCGCCCCGACGGCCGCCTTCACTGCGGCCTGCTCCGAGGCGTAGAGCACCACCTGGGTTGGGAAGTTTAGGGTTTAGGGTTTAGGGTTTAGGGTTTAGGGTTTAGGGTTTAGGGTTTAGGGCTAAGTTTGATTCGGGAGTTTACGATAATCTAGCCTCCTAGAATGGGTACCCCCTATAAAAGGAAGCCCCCATTTTCAAGGAGGGCCCTTACAACTCCCTGGAAGATCTTCCGAAATAGGATCCTCTTGAACCCAATATGGGGTTTAGGGTTTAGGGTTTAGGGTTTAGGGTTTAGGGTTTAGGGTTGGGGATCTTAGATTCAGGTGCCACAATGAAAAAATGTAGATACAAGTAGTGCTTGGCCTGGTTTCTGCAGGTCTCAGAACACAAAGAGCCCAATATCCCTTAAACAGGGAACATACCTCAAATCATATTAAGGGCCCCTATATGGTTGAAGGCATATTCCTTCATCAAGGGGTATTGGGCTCGCTGGGAAGTAACCACGATGAAAGTCTTGTGGTGGAAGCCTAAACCCTAAACCCTAAACCCTAAACCCTTAGCAGCAGCCCAGCCACCCCTGAGCGGGGATAGAAAGCCACAGACATGGACTGGCCACCTCAAGGGAAGATGCCGGGGCAGGGGTATCCCCAAAGAGCCCAACACCTCCCTTAATTCAGGAATATGCGGTAAATGTTAAAGGGACCCTTAATATGATTTAAGGTATATAATATGCCCTAAATCATATTCAGGATCCCTATCAGAACTTAAGGTCTATTCCTTAATCAAGGGGTATGGGGTCCGGGGCTTTAGAGTGCCAGCTTGAGAGTGCCCACCCTGAATTAAGGAATATTTACCTTAATTCATCATAATGACCCTGAGTTTTAATGAGGGCATGTTTAGGAAATCAAGCGGTTTTGGAAGATCTGGGTGGCTTTGGTTGTGTAGAATGGGCTTCTGGGAAGACATGGAGAGGCTTCGGATGGGTTGTAGTGTCAGGGATGCTTAGAAAGATTGGGGGGGGGGGGGTTCTGGGGTTTAGGGTGTAGGGTTTAGGGTCTATTAGGGTTTAGGGTTTAGGGTTTGGGGTTTAGGGTGTCAACCTCGCCGTGAAGGGGCGAAGTGCAGGGCACATCTGATCAGAATTCCCGTGCCCTCGCCGCTCCCTCAGCTTAATTAAGCAATATAGCTTAAATCATATTCAGGATCCCTATATGATTTAAGGAATATTCCTTCATTAAGCAATATTGGGCTCTTTGGGCATGTGCCTGCTCGCTAGACGTGTCCGTTGATAGCCCGAGAAACTATTTCAAGAGCCTTGATGCGGCAGAACTTCGGCGCCACATCTTCAGCTTAATTTGAATTATATGGATCAATCCTATATAATCCAACATAAGCTTCAAGCGGACTAGAACTACTAGTCAACTCCCTGCGGACCCGCCATCAAAATGGCCCCCAACACCTGTGGCCAGGATCATCTGGCGATGCGCGTCGAGGGAGCAGGTGATGCACCTTCTCTGTCCCTTTATGTCTCTGAATTGAGGGATCTACCTTAAACTATATAGGGATCCTTAATAGGATTTAAGGTACAGTCCTTAATTCAGGGATATTGGGCTCTTTGGGGAGGTGATTCTCGGCTGACCAACGACACCTACAAGCCATGAATCCAAGGGTGGCCGAATCAAAGCCAGGCACCTACCTACTTGAACCCATGGAGCTAGAGGTTTAGGGTTTAGGGTTTAGGGGCTCCTAAACCCTAAACCCTAAACCCTAAACCCTAAACCCGAAACCCTAAACCCTAAACCGCCGGCCCGGCGCAGGCCGAAGGAGCCCCGGGCCCAAGCCATGAAGAGCCGTGTGGCCTGGCGTTGGAGGGCTCCGACTCTCTGCGAAACCCTTAACCCTAAACCCTAAACCCTAAACCCAAAGCTACCCTAAACCGCTGAGGGGTCTTGGTGACTTGGGCCCTGGGACTTTGTATAGCAAATCGAGCAAAAGCAGACCTGCCCAGGAGTTTCACGCCGTGCTGCTGGGATGCGCAAAAAAGCATTCAGGGCGAGTCTATACAGGGGGGATTGGGGGTGTTCCGTTCATGCTTTCCTCCCGGCCGCGGGCTTTGAGAGTGGCACACTTTACGTTGAGGTACCCCCACCCTCAGCCCTCCCCCGTGATCGCATCGACTTGGGCAGGTACTGTGTCACAAGCTGCCTCAAGCCCGACTCTAGACCCTGAAGCCTGAAGCAGCGGCCTGCAGGAGGTCGTTGTCGAAGAAGGCATCCACAGCGCAGCGCACCATCTGCTCCATATCCCGGCCTTTTGGACCCGAACCAAGCCAGGGCTACAAGCGGGGGGAGGAGGGGGGGTGAAGATTTACCCAAAGGCTCCAATGTAGTTCCTTTTTGGGTTAGTTATAGGGGATTCTAGTATACTAACCCAAAAAGGTACTACATAGGAGCCTTTGGGTAGGGCTTAAAGGGTTCAGGGTTTATAGGGTTCGACAGGCTCAGCCAAGCGAGTGTTCCGGCCTCGCAAGGGAAGCCGGAGACCGGATCCTTCCAGGCTCGTCCTTTTGGGGTTTAGGATTTAGGGTTTAGGGCTAGGGTTTAGGGTTTAGGGTTTCGGGTTTCGGGTTTAGGGCTAGGGTTTAGGATCCTCTGAAGGGGGCTCTAAATGGTGCTCAGTGTGAGTCAAGGAGGAGTAGATGCCCAGATAGGCGGCAACGCTTCACGCGTGCTAAAGAAGTCCATAGACCCCTCAGCAACCCTGAACCCAAGCTTCTGCAAGTCTGCAAGCCATTTAGGGTTTAGGGTTTAGGGTTTAGGGTTTAGGGTTTAGGGTTTGGGGTTAGGCCCCCTTTCAACAATCCTGAGGGCTGGGTCCTGCAGTCTGCGTAAAGGTTGCCGCGCTGCATCTTGAGCTGGTCCAGCTGTAGGCCCTGCTTCCTAGGCTTACCCAGAGAGCCCTTTATGCGCCTTAATTAAGGAATAGACCTTCAAGTATATAGGGACCCTTGATATGACGTAGTGTAAATTCCTTAATTGAGGGATATTTGTCTCTGTGCGTACGGCGTGTCGCTTGATGTTTCGGGTTTGGGGCGGGGGGTGGGGTCTTGTCAGGTTTCCTACCGGTTTCCAGGGCCCAATTCAGTGGATATCCTTACAGGTGATCCATACAAGACGTGAATCTGCTGCCTGAAGCTGCAGTCTCGCTCTCTCTCTCCCTGTCTCTCTCGCTCGCACTCTGCAGCGCACGGACCCCAAGTCCTAAGGTTGACCTATCCCTAAACAGTTGAGGAAAGATCGCCAAACCACTAAAGGCCCAAGCTCCTCCTCTAGGACCTTTATCTTAAAAATGGCAACTGCTGGATCTCCATGGGTTTAGGCTGGAGGGTGGTAGTGCACGCAGGTTTAAAAACAGTCTGCTACCAAGGCCCAAAAACGAAACCTAAACCCGAAAAACCCTAAACCCCAAGCCCTACACCCTGAAAACCCTCAAACCCCTCTCAGCATTCAGGGCCCAAGAGGCAAGTACCTCTGCAGCACCGCATCCATAACTGCCCCAACTTGCTCGAAGAACTTGCGGCTTGGCACCTCCAAGACTGCCCCCCCCCCCCCTCCCCCAAATGCAGGGCATCGGCTGACTGGAGCTAGGGTTTAGGGTTTAGGGTTTAGGGTTTAGGGTTTAGGGTTTAGGGTTTCGGGTTTAGCACTTGGTTTCGACTCTTACGTTCGCACGAGGTAGGCAAGGCTCTTTTGGTTTAGGGTTTTAAGGCCTAAGGCCTAAGGGCCTGGTTGGGCAAGAGTCGGGGAGTAGTTGCTATTTCTTTTTAAACTCCTTGCAACTCCCCCTGCCGGCAACCCCTAGCGGATGAACGTCATGGAGGACGAAGATACGTCAAGCCAGAGAAGACAAAACCTAATCTGGGGGGTTAAAGAACTCGAACAGGGGTTTGGGGGGGGGGGGGGGGTTATTGTAGTACATTTAGGAAGGAAGGGACCATAAGGGAATATGATTAGTAATAATTCCGACCCTCTATATATATATATATATATGGGTAGCTGTCAATATTCCTTCTTCCAGGAACGGCGGATGCTGAAAAACTCATGGTGCCGCCTTATGCCGAGAAGGAAAACAAAGGTCTGGAACGATGGCTTTGGCAAGTACAGAAGAGTAGTACGAATTCTTGTACCCTATGCAAAAGTCTCGCAAAACACACTAGCGCCTTCATTTCAGACTCAAGCATCGTCTGCGGAACTACTGGAGCTACTTGAACTCGAGCTAGTAGTGTTAGAGCTATCGCTTAGCGATGTAGCACAAGCGCGTAGCTTTTTTCTTCGGCCTCCTTGCTCAGGATATCCCCTGCCAGCTCTTCCCGGTTGGCCATGCTTCAAATCAGCTGTCTTAGTACTGCCTTATGTCTTGGATGGGCAAGTGGTCGCCGCAGGCAGTTTCCCTTGATATTTGCTAGCGCGATGCTAGCGCCAACCTAGCGCATATTTCGCCTCATGACTTTAGAGTTTTGGCACGCCGGCAGTATGCATCAGGAGCAAACACTGCAGCGATTTACCTCCCACTTAATCCTGAAGCCTGTACTAGAATTGAGGGTTAGGGTCTAGGGTCCCCGCTTTTTCCCTAAACCCAGAAAGCCCCGAACCCTAGACCCTAAACCCCAAGCATGAAACCCCAAAGCCTCTCACATCCCTAAACCCTAAACCCTAAACCCTAAAATGTTAGCTTTTGGAAAGGAACACCTAGCGCCACGCTAGCGCTATCCTAGCGCCTACTTGGGGGAGAGCCGGAAACCTGCATATACGCATGGTGCCGCCTTGTGGCGAAGACATAAAGCAGCAAGAGCGGAGCTTCATATCGCACTTCCATCATATTTTACATACATGGTATTTTGACGTCCGCCCATATATATATATCGAAATATATAAATAAATATAAATATATAACAACAGTATAAATAAATAAATATATATATATATTGTATTTCCGAAAAGCATAGGGCGAAACGCACCAAACCACCAAGATGGCTGGCTCTGCCCAAGACCAGTTTGGGGTTCGGGCTTCGACTCACTCGCGGGGCTTTGGGCTTCGGGGATAGAATTCAGGGCCAATATCTCCCTACCAGGATGGGCTATTCGCCCTTCTACAATCCCCGCAATCAACCCTACAAAGGGCCGTTTAAGAGGTTTACAGGGCAGTATAGCCCACTGGGTTGGCCTTTAAACCCTCTGAAAACTATATATAAACTAGCTATATATATATACACATATATACATACATATAGGTTCCCTTATAAACCCAAATAAGGAAAAACCAAAAGCAGGCCTTGAAGTCGAAGTCGTTCCAGCGCGGCCCAAAGAGGAAGCCGTAGCGTGCGCTGAGCGCGAAGCAGCCCTGCACACGCAGCAGCTCCATGACCTCGTTGCTGAGGCTTTTTGTTGGTTAGGGTTTAGGGTTTAGGGTTTAGGGTTTAGGGTTTAGGGTTTAGGGTTTAGGGTTTAGGGTTTAGGGTTAGGGTTCATGACCTTGCCAGCATGGGCCATTAGGCCTTCTCATCCCTTTTCGGGCCCTATAATCCCCCTAACCAAACCTCTAAAGGGCCTTTTTGAGGGGGGGTCTATAGTGTGTACAGTAGCCCATGCAGGTGTTGCTGGCCTTAAGGTGCGGAATGTCGAACGTGCGGACCTCTGGGTTCGATGCTGCGCACACATCTGAAGATTCGGGGGCGCTCTGCCTCCAGCACTCTCGCTCTCTCTCTCTCTCTCTCTCTGTCTTTCTCTCTCTCTCTCTCTTTCCCTCTCTCTCTCTCTCTGTCTCTCTCTCTCTCTCTCTCTCTCTCTCTGTTGAGGGCTTGATTTATCCACTCCTGGCTTAAAGGGCAGTTCTTCAGCCAGCTTCTCTCGCTCCCCCTTCATCTCCCGCGGCTTATAGTCACATCCAAGTGGGCGGAAGTGACACGAGACGGGAACCGATCTGCAAACAACAGCTGCCCATTTACCAGCGAATAATTGCCCTAAACCGCCCTAAACCCTTTTGCAACGAGTAAACCCTAAAACCCTAAAACCCTAAAACCCTAAAACCCTAAAACCCTAAAACCCTAAAACCCTAAAACCCTAAAACCCTAAAACCCTAAAACCCTACAACCCTAAAACCCTAAAACCCTAAAACCCTAAAACCCTAAAACCCTAAAACCCTAAAACCCTAAAACCCTAAAACCCTAAAACCCTAAAACCCTAAAACCCTAAAACACTAAAACCCAAAAACCCTAAAACCCTAAAACCCTAAAACCCTAAAACCCTAAAACCCTAAAACCCTAAAACCCTAAAACCCTAAAACCCTAAAACCCTAAAACCCTAGCCCTAAAACCCTAAAACACTAAACCCTAAAACCCTAAAACCCTAAAACCCTAAAACCCTAAAACCCTAAAACCCTAAAACCCTAAACCCTAAACCCTAAAACCCTAAACCCTAAACCCGAAACCCTAAACCCTAAACCCGCCCGAGCTGCGCCGGCAATGGCTGCCGAGTCGACCTCGGAGGGCCTCGGCTGCCACGTCGCCCGCTCCAGCCAAGCCTGTTGCGATGCTTTGGAAGAATTCTGGGGTTGGGGTTTAGGGTTTAGGGTTTAGGGTTCAGGGTTTAGGGTTTAGGGTTTAGGTTTCGACTCTCACACTCGCACAAGGCCGGCAAGGCTTCGGTTTAGGGTTTAGGGTTTAGGGTTAGGGTTTATCGGGTTTAGGGTTTATCGGGTTAAGGGCTTATAGGGTTTAGGACTTAAAATGCTCATAGAGCTTTTAGAATCCTCAGCCCTGAGCAACAAACCTCGGTGATCTCAAGTTAGGCGGAGCTAGGCGCACTCACGTGGATGCGTAGTTGAATTCAGTGGGCCATAAGAGAAGACTTGGAGGTTTCCGACAATAGGTGTACCCCTTTTGGGGGTCGCTTTAAAGGGATTCTATTCTATAAAAGGGGTACTGATTCCATTCTATAAAAGGGGTACCCCTATACTGGGACACTCCACTTCTGACTAGTTACTAGTTAAAGGTGACGCCGTAGATGGTCGCCCTTCAGTTCACCCCCTGGCAGGCCTGCACTTTACCCAGCTCCTGCATCTGGCCTGATGGTGAAGGGGAGACGGTCTGATGAGGGTCGTCTGTGCACACGACAGCGTGCCAGTTTTTTGTTTCCCTCAGGACTCTTGCGTATTCAAGGATGAGGATCCCAACCTTAGTTGTCCAGTACCTAGGGGTTTTAAAGGTTAACCTTTGGGATTATAAGGGGAATATATTAACCCAAAAAGGTTAAAGGTTCCCTACTCTACTACTAAGAGTAACACGAGTGTCTAGACCGCATGCCGAAGCCCGAACCCTGAAGTCCTAGCTTTGACCTTGTCCATGCCTGGGTCATTTCTTGTCGACGATATGATTACCCTGCATTGACTTGCATGGGTTTAGGGTTTAGGGTTTAGGGTTTAGGGTTTAGGGTTTAGGGTTTTAGGGTGAAAACAGATGCTGAAACCACACTTATAACCATGCGGCCACGAGCCAAAGGGCCAACCTTTGCAACTTAGAAGCCCTCACTACCCAGATCTTCCAAGACCCCTTGACTAAAGGATCTAACCTTATCTTTACGAAGGATCAGTATTATGAATAATAAGGGTATATTCCTTAGTACTGAGGATCATTATTCTGAACAATAAGGGTACATACGGTACATTCCTTGATACTAAGACCATTATTAAATAATGGTCCTTAGTATCAAGGACATTATTTAAAGCAAAAAGGGTATATTCCTTAATTAAGGGTTTTGGGGAAGATCTGGGCATTAGTATGAGCATTCCGCGTGAAGAAGCAGCTTCTCAGACTGATGGGAGGAGATTTTGACTAAGAGAATGGGGTTAGGGTTCATAGGGTTTAGGGTTTATAAGGTATAGGGTTTAGGGTTTAGGGGTTTAGAAAATGTCAACCTCCAGCCCCTTGGAGTAGTAGCTGATTATGGCTTTGCTTCTCCTCGGGGCCTGCGAACTCAAAGAAGTCAAAGTCCCCGTTGTGCGTCACGAAAATCTCCACATTCTTCTTGCCCGCCATGCAGAGCTTGTTCTCCGCAAAGCCAGTGTAGATGTCATACCTCTATATCTTCCGCAACCCCTTAATTAAGGAGTATACCCTAGTTCATAATAGAAAGTATAAAACAGACCCCTGAATTGAGGAATATACCCTAATTCATAATCATGATCCTTAGTATAAATCAAATTAGACGCCTGAATTGAGGGGCTTTGGAAGATCCAGGTACCTCTGTGATGGCGACCACTGGTGCGGATGGGCACCATCTAACGTGGACTGAGAGCTGGTTGCGAAGCGCGTGTGGCCAACGTAGACGCGCCCTGCTCCGAAGAATTTCCGACGGCACAGCCACGCCCACCACTCGGCACGATCGAGCTTCCGCCGCAGGAGTTCTGAAAGGCACGTGCGCTTTTGGTTCACGACCCGCGCGCGGAGACCCGCGAGGTCCGAGCTACCATCCCTGACTGAACCGGACTTTCTGGCGATGACATAGCTCCTTAGTTGTCCAGTACCTAGGGGTTCTAAAGGTAAACCTTTGGGATTATAAGGGGAATATATTAACCCAAAAAGGTTAAAGGTTACCTACTCTACTACTAAGGCTCAGCACGCCGCCACTCTGGGCCCCACGTACCATGGTCACCTCGGCCATCTTCTCTAAGATGTCCTTCATGGGCTCCGGTGCAGCTGCCCAAGCACTATTGAGGAGGACCAGCCCGAAGTTGCCACATCTAAACCAGTGGCCGCCAAACTCCACATGCCTATCGTAGGCCTGACACACATCTGAAACACATGCCTCGGCTGCTGTGATGAGGGCTGTGCTCAGAAGCGCATAGTCGTGGCTGGTGGCGCACGCAGCGACTGCAATGAGCAAGGACGTCAGCCAGCCCGCATGTCCAACTACGGCCTCCTGCCATGCCTGGGACGTCTTCACATGCACGCGCCTGAACCTTAACTGCTTTGCCGGTCTCAGAAAACGAAATATGCAGCGACTCCCGACGCAGCGCCGGAGTCATGAAACACTAGGAAGTATGCTGTCCCAGAAAGATTCCAGGTGACTTACCTGACTTCGCACGCAAGCCTAAACATCCTTAAACCCCTTCAAAAACCTCTCACAAACCATTAAGATCTCCCAAAACATCCCCAAACCGTAGCCCTAAACCCTAAACCCTAAACTCTAAATCCTAAACCCTAAAGCCCCCGACAAGAAGCAGCAGGAGCTCCACAAGGTTGCTCCAGCTGGCCGTCGGCCAGCAGCCCACTGCCAGGCCCGCAAGAACGTGGCCCAGCTCATGGGCCGTCCCAAACACCAGGTACCTCTTTTTAAGGGCGCCTCTGTGGCTCTTATTATTTATAAAGGGTTTAGGGTTTAGGGTTTAGGGTTTCGGGTTTAGGGAAGGGCGGGGGTGAACTAAGGAATCTACCCTAAATCATAATCATGACCCTTCGCACAAATGAGGGCCTACTGCTTAAAAAGGAGTTTTGGAAGATCCGGGTATCTGCTTAGGGTTTATAGGGCCTACCGAACCCCAAACCCACTTTTTGCTATAGGTTCTTAATATACATCCTAAACCCTAAACCCTAAACCCTAAACCCTAAACCCTAAACCCTAAACCCTAAACCCTAAACCCTAAACCCTAAAATGCGATTCTTGGGAACCCTACAAGTATGAAGGTTTTGGGCTCTTATAAGGTAGCCAAGGCAGAACTGGGAGGCACCTCACGGTTTAGGGTTTAGGGTTTAGGGTTTAGGGTTTAGGGTTTAGGGTTTAGGATTTAGGATTCAGGGTATCTGGGGAGAGGGCCTTGGGTGTTTGGGGGAGGCGGTTCAGGGATGTTGTCCCTGCCCTGCGAGGTGCCCACAACTTTGTTGTGAGGGGTTTAGGGTTTGTAGGGTTTATAGGGTTTATAGGGTGTATAGGGTGTGTAGGGTTTATAGGGTTTATAGGGTTTTCAGGGGGTTTTAGGGTTTATAGGCTTTATAGGGTTTATTAGGGTCTAGAGTTTAGACCCTAAACCCTAGACCCCAGACCCTAAACCCTAAACCCTAAACCAGTTTAGTGTCCGGCTCTGGGGTTTGGTTGCGGGTTGATGACACAAGCCAGGTATACCCTCTGAGAAGCCCTGAGAGGGTTTAGGGTTTAGGGTTTAGGGTTTAGGGTTTAGGGTTTAGGGTTTAGGGTTTAGGGTTTGAGCACTACGTCTCACCCGCAGGGCACCACGCGGCAAACCGGAGGCACCCTCCAACGCAGTCCTTGGATCTTCCCAGTGACACCTAGAGCCCAAAAGCCCTTCATTGAGGAATATCGCTTAGAATATATAGGGGTCCTTGTAATTAACCCTAAACCCTAAACCCTAAACCCTAAACCCTGATATTGGGCCCTTTGGGGACAGAGGAGGCCCCATGGATTGTTTGGCGACCAGGTAGTTGCAATCGGCTTGCCACCACAACCCAACAAACCAGAATGGGCTATAAGGCCTTATAAACCCTCATCATCAACCCTACAAAGGGCCTGCTTTTTTAGGGGTTGTAGGGTCTACTAGCCCATCCTGGAGAGGCAGCAAAGATGCAAACGTTTCTATAAGGCGCCAAGGATCCATGGCCCTGCCTGGGCGTGTGCTCGCACTGCAATCCGGACCCGGCCAACCGCCAAGTTGGAAATGCCCATGCAAAACTGTACACAAAGCAGCACCCTCTACCCTGAAAGGGCGGCGCTCATCTGGCCGGCTGCTGTTTAGGCTTTGGGTGTAGGGTTTAAGGGTTACTGTAAGGGTTTAAGGGTTGAAGGCTTGAAGGGTTGAAGGCTTTTGGGTTTAGGGCCCCAGAAGCTCCCGCAGCACATTCAGTACCTAAAGCCCTGAACTCCGTGAATGGGGAGATATGGTCATCCAGTAGGAGGAACAAGAAAGGGGTTCGGAAGACAAACCCTAAACCCTAAACCCGAAACCCTAAACCCGAAACCCTAAACCCGAAACCCGAAACCCTAAACCCTAAACCCATCTTCAAGGCCAAGGGTGCCCTGTCCGGCGAGATCACGAGGCGGGGGGAACCCCGGGTTTTTCAGGCCTTGCAGCCCCTTTGACAGAATTTCGGGCCTTCAGATTTCAAGGGTTTAGGGTTTAGGGTTTAGGGTTTAAGGTTTAAGGTTTAAGGTTTCGGGTTTAGGTTGATACAGACCTGGCTTGTGATGTCCAGTGCACAAGACTAAATCCAGCCCCAGCCTCTGCCTTGGAGTTGAGCTCGACCTATCCAGGGCCGGCACATTTCACGCAGCACAGCTTCCTTTGCTTTGGTGAGGCTTTAGGGTTTAGGGTTGAGGGTTTAGGGGTTAGGGTTGAGGGTTGAAGGTTGAGAGATTAGTATTAGGGTTTAGGGTTTAGGGTGGGTGGGGGCGAGGTGGGCAAGCGTCGATCGTAGGCTCGCAAGCCCTTCTTTCACTTCCTTCGCCGACTTCTCCAGGCTGGATCTGTTTCGTGCAGGCTGCCTGTCACGATCGCTGAACCGATGCCGAGAACCCAAAGAGCCAAATATTGCTTAATTAAGGAATATTCCTTAAAACAGAGAGGGATCCTTAAGATGATTTAAGGAATATTCCTTAAATTAAGCAATATTGGGCTTTTTGGGAAATATGACCCGCAGCGATGAGGCCTGCAGAGGAAAAGCTCCAAAAGCTCAGTTGCAATCGGCGTTTCAAAAACTTTTCAAACACTGTCAATTGCCGAACGCAGTGCCTGAGCGAGCAGTTGTGGAAAACTCTCCAGCCTTGCAAGAATCATTCCAGAATGAAAGTCCTGCGGGAACCGAGAACCCCCCCCTGTGCCGCGTGAGACATCATGCGGCGCGGGTCATGGGTGTACTCCAGTCCCTCTGTGCAGGCATTTCCTGTGTTGCATTTTTACATCAGTTTTACATCACTTTTCAGTCAAGAGTCAGCCAGCCCCAGAGAACACCCTCATCGTTCCTAACTCTATAAGTCGTTGCAATCTTGCCTTTTAGGCCCACAGCTCTTCGGAATATGTCGGAACAGTGAGGATGTTGCTCTTGTGCCACCTGTGGATTAGCCTCCGCCAGTTGACAACTCATCGCAGCTGGCAGCACGCGGAATGCAGTTGAGCTGGGATTTAGTGAGTCCACGAAATGTGAGTCAGATGCTGAAACCTCAGGGGTCTCGGGGCCTTTAGTGTTGAAGGTTCGGGGTTTAGAACCCTAAACCCTAAACCCTAAACCCTGGTCTAGGGTTTAGGGTCTAGGGTCTACCAACAAGTCCAAAAGCTCCTGCTCCGAGGATGAGTTGTCCACTGCCGTTATGACCATCGAGCGTGTGAAGACGGGCATTTCCCCAAATGGCGAGAGGTACCCCCGAAGATACCGCAAGATACGGCCATCCGGATCAAAAAAGCCTAAAAAGGATCCAGCCACACCCACCCACCCACCCCGCATAACAAAAAGGGGACCCCTGTATATGGTTGCGCCAACCCCCCCCCCCCCCCCGGTCGCGGTGTGGTTGTGGTTGTGGGTTGATTTTAGGGTTTGGGGCTTTAAGGTTATGTTTTTTCGCCACCCGCCTGGCTGATGAATCACATCGCATTGCAGGGAAGACACACGTTACTTGTTGAAGGCAAACTAGGGGGTTCTGCGAAAGGCCTTTAGGGTTTAGAGTTTTTAGAGTTTAGGGTTTAGGGGTTGGTTTAGGCAAGACCGAAAACCAGGGCGGGGGGATTGCAGGGGGGGGGGTGCGGTGGGCCGAGAACGCGCAGCGCAAAACCTATAGGGAACACCCCCCTCCCCATCTGAAGATGCTTCTACAACCGACCTGTAGGTTTGCGTGGTGGAGAACCCTAAACCCTGAGCCCCTGAACTCTGAGCCCTAAACCCTGAACCCTAAACAGGAACCGAGCCCCTGAGAAGGGGATGAAGGATACCATTGAGGGTCCTGCGTAGTGGTTGCTTTGCAAAGTCAAAAAAAAACGACAGAACTGGCCAGACCTTCAGCCCGACAATGCTTGGCAGCACTTAGGGGAGGGGTAGCTAAAAATTAAATTTTTAGCTGGCTTCTGAAGAAACCCAATAAACCCAAAAAGGCTAAGGATCTAAAAGTTACAGCAAAGCACCGCAAAGTATGGAGGACCTCGCTTGAAACCGCCATTGCATCTCTTCGCTCGACGCCGGCCATCCACATGCGGGGGGACAAAGGGCTTGGCCGCCGTTAAAATCCCTAAACCCTAAACCCTAAACCCTAAACCCTAAAATACTACTTTGCTTCGAGCATCCCCACCCTGCAGGCACGAATTTGCGAGCTCACTCTCGGGCCCTGCACCCTAAACCCTAAACCCTAAACCCTAATCATCCGGCACTCCAAGAATTGTGCAGGGATACTTTGAGATTGTGAACTCCAGCTCTGGGGCTACTCTGTCCAGGGACTCTCTGAGTAGTACTCACTCTAGGGTTGTCTGGAAAATACTCTGAGCACTCCAGGGGAGGTTGGGCACTTCAAGGACTCTTTGGGGATACTCCGGGACTGGGCACTCCAGAAAGTCTCTGGTTGGGCACTCCAAGGATTTTCTGGGGATAGCCTGAGGTTGGGAATTCCAAGGACTCTCTGGGAATACTCTCAAATTGGGGTTTAGGGTTTGGGGTTTCAGGTTTAGGGTTTAGGGCACTCCCGAAACTCTCTGGGGATACTCTGGGGCTGGGCACACATGAGACTCGCTGGAGAACTCTCACCGAGGGTGAGGAATGATCTGAGCACTGCGATGCCACACCTCACTGCACAGGCTTCCCAAAGAGCCCAATATCCCGAAACTAAGAAACAACCTGCAATCAGAATAAGGATCCCTACATAATTTAAACTATTAGCTAAGGAAGCCTTAACTAAGGAACAACCTTATATAAATAAATCGGATTAAGGATCCCTACATAATTAAGGTATATTCCTTAATTAAGGGGTATTGGGATCTCTGGGTTCGTAAGTAGCATTCAACACTTGCGCATCTCATCTCCGGCAGCGTGCCTTCAATCTCATGCCTGGCTTGTCTGCAGGTCAAGCATCAACCTGCATAGTAGAAAGTAGGGTTTCTATAAAATAGGAATTACAATTATGGTGTGGGTAAGTGTCCCCCGATATAGGTACTTAGGACCCTTTGGGTCGGAAGTCATGGAGTTTCTGAGCATCTACCATCCTCTGTATTACATGCTGCTTAGATGCCAGCTCAAATGACTCGAGCAGACCGGGCAAATTCAGTCCTCCAACAGGGGATGTCTCTGTTGGAGTCAACTGGGCTGCTGCTTTTGAGAGTGGCGGCAAGGTACACAGTGCACCCTAAACCCTAAACCCCTAAACCCCTAAACCCCTAAACCCCTAAACCCTAAACCGACTTTAACCCAGCTGCCTTTGAGCGCGCGGGTTTGTGGATTGATCCACAAGAAATATAAAGAGGGCCGCGTTGGGCACACAGGTTTCAAGGATTTTCAAAATTTCACGCCGTTCGTCCTGATCCAGGAAGGGCTATTGCAAGCTTCCCCCTCAAGAATGCCTGGCCCTAAGCCCTAAACCTTAAACTTCGCTAGATGCCACGTCCACCAGTTTCAGCGAATGCTGTGGATGTCGTCCCCTCTGCTATCCCACGATGTCAGCAAAAGCCCCTTCCTTGTGAGTGCTGTCACGGCTTCAGCCGTGACGCTTCAGGGAGTCGAGGCTCCCGCAGGAACCTTCATGGAAACTCGCGATTTCAGGGCCCTTCTTGGTCGCCCCAGTAACCCCGTACTTGTTTTCGGCTGGCTACTTCATAAGGGAACCTTGAACCCTAAACCCTAAACCCTAAACCCTAAAGCAGGGAAAGGGTACCACTTGGCTACCAAGCCAGGGAGCTATCCGCCCGTGCTGAACTTTGCTCGAGGGGAAGGCGTCGAGGTCTGCGACAGCTTCGGCCTGCGAGGGTTTAGGGTTTAGGGTTTAGGGTTTAGGGTTTAGGGTTTAGGGGAGATCCACCCAGAGAGCACTCAAATACCCCCCCCCCTTAACTAAGCAATGGGCCTTACATGATATCGAGCTCCTTAATGCCAATTTAAGGTGTATATATATATATGTATATATGTATATACATATATCTGTAGATATATGTATGTATGTATATATATATATACATATGTATATGTATATATATATATATATATATATATATATATGGAGGGGTCCTTGGTATGGTTTTGCGGCATCAAGGGCTCTTTGGGCAGTGCTTTTGGGTGGTCCTCGCCTGTGGTGCTGTTGTCTCAGGGTAGTTACGCTGGGCACTCAGTATGAGCCCTTTTGTTGGGGAACCCTTTTTTGCTCCCTATACGCCCTCTAGCACTCCTCGGCCCATACTTCAGAACCCTTTCAGGAAGGTGAGAGGCCAGATTCAGGGGTAAGGCACCGCGTAGCTACCCTAAGATGTTGCCCCTCTACCATCCCCTATCTGTGTTTCTCTGCCTGTCTCTTCGTGTGTCCGAATAGAACGAACCTATCCTCAAGGACCTTGACGCTGTTGCCTGCACTCCGCAACTGCCCCTCAACAGGTATACCAAACAATTCTCGCAAAAGCCAAGTAAGCTCAACGATGAACCTTATACTAGACCCAAGAGTAACCCAGGAAGGAAAAGGGTGCCCTTTTTGGCTTACAAGGGCTGATCAGGGAACCGAAGCCCCCAAAAAAGGGATACAAGGGATAAGGGCCTACTCTGGGTCCTAGTGTATGTATATTAAAAATATATATATATATATATATATATATTTATATTTATATTTATATATTTATTTATATCTAATTATGTAAATAAAAAACAAATATATATATATATATATGTGTACATATCCGGAATGCATCTTCCAGGTCAAGCCTGCTGATGGTTCGCTGCGAAGGTCGGGCACCATCGCTGCGGGACACCATCGCGGCAGAATGCCCCTGTGAGCTGACTGAGAACCTGAGCCCAAAGAGCCCAAAGGGTTTAGGGTTTAGGGTTTAGGGTTTAGGGTTTAGGGTTTAGGGTTTAGGGTTTAGGGTACTCTCACAAGCCATACTAGATAGGCTCTTGGGGTATTTCATTCCACTATTTACTTAGGGTCTTGGGGTATTAATTCCGAAAAGGGTGCCCTTTTTATTCCGAGGTTACCCCTGGGTGTACCCTTTTTTTGGCCTCATTCGGGACCCTTGTAAGGGGACCTTATGGGGTTATCTGGGGGTTTATTAGGGGCTACTTTGGTATATAGGGACTACCCAAAGAGCCCAATATTGCTTGACTAAGGAATATACCTGAAATCATATTAAGGATCCCTATGTGATTTAAGGAATATTCCTTAATTAAGCAATATTGGGCTCTTTGGGAGATTCCGGGACTCCGATTTGGGGAGTTTACGGAAATAAGGGACCCCTAAAATTTAGACCCCTAAATCGTCGGATCCCCTTGTAACAAGGGCCACCAATAAGGGACCCCGAATTTTTTGGGAACCCCCATTTCTCAGGTGTGGCTTGGAGCTCCATGGGTCTTTGGGCTTGGGGCCTCAGGGGTGGCATCCGCCCTAAACCCTAAACCCTTAAAGGGATGGGGGGCGTAAAGTTGAGCCGACCAGACAACCAAGGATGTGGGGCCGGCTGCAGTGCTACTGCCTGTACTTACAGTGGTGCAGGTGCCCTAAACCCTAAACCCTAAACCCTAAACCCTAAACCCTAAGCCCTCTTGAGACCTAGGTTAGACGACCTGCAGCGTTGCTGGTTCTTGGGAACAACAGGCACCTTGGGTTTAGGGTTTAGGGTTTAGGGTTTAGGGTTTAGGGTTTAGGGTTTCGGGTTTCGGGTCTAGGGTGACATTTGGTGCCCAGGGGTTGCTGGGAGTTGAGGACGGACGAGCTACAGAACCTTCAATGGACCCGAAACACGAACAAACTACCGTGAGCGGATCATCAGCAAGCCCGGTAGCAGCAGCGGACCACTGATGTCGTCCTCTCGAGTCTAGCTTGCCAGCATCCTAACACAGGTAAACCCTAAACCCTAAACCCCAAACCCTAAACCCTAAAGCCTAAACCCTAGCCCTGAACCCTAAACCCCTCCCAGCCCATTAACATGAACACCCCCCCCCCCCCCCCCCCCCCCCCCCCCCCCCCCCCCCCCCCCCCCCCCCCCCCCCCCCCCCCCCCCCCCCCCCCCCCCCCCCCCCAACCCCCGCCCGAAACCCCAACCACGCCCCCGGGTCCGGCGAGGGCAGCGTGACGGCGGCTTTCTTTGGCGACTTGAGCTCCGGCAGCCTTTTCGGGTTAGGGATTAGGGTTTAGGGTTTCGGGTTGAGGGTTTAGGGCTAGGGTTTAGTGCTTGAGGTTTAGGGTTGGTTTAGGTTTCTGGTTAGGGTTTAGGGATCCTGGTAGGGTTCTGGGCAGGGTTTAGGATAGTTAGGGCTAAGGGGTTATAGGGTTTAGGGTTATGATGCTGGACCTGCTTTAGGGTGCTCCCCAAAAGAGAACGGTCGAAGCTGATGATGTCTCTCTTCAGATGGTTCGGGGCCTTGTAAAAGGGATGAGGGTATGTTACCTCTAAAGCAGCAAGGCCCGGAAAGTGAGTTTCAAGGCGAAGACCCGACCGAATTGCGGACCCCACCCATAAAGGCCCAAACCTCCTGAATAGCCCGGCAAACTTGCCTTTATTCAATTAGGGTTACAAGGAGGGGCCCCCCCTAGTTGTAAGTAGAGATACAAGGATCCTAGATTGGGTTACAAGGATCCTAAATTAGGTTCTAAGTCCCTTATCTACAGTTAGTATAGTAGTATAGGAAGGGAGCCCTTGCTTGTAGAGTTCGGATGTAGAGGTTTAAGGACTGAAATCTACGGGCCCAGGCACAGAATCTGTACGACCCCCCCCCCCCCATAAAGCAGGACAGGTTGGTCTAAGCACTTTCCCCGAAGCCCTTGCCCATCTTAGCGTGGAAGATTGCATCCCAAGCAGCGTGGAACGTTGGGGCGAAGATTTCACGAACTTCCATGGAAGCTCATCAGCCTGGAACCAAGGTCCGGCAAAGTATTGCCGGGGTGGACTTGGGGGGGGCCAAGGAAACTAACAACTTCTCTACTTGGAGCTCCATGGGTCGAAGGGTTATGAGTATGGTAACTATACTTACCTTTTTTATTTTGCTTATAACCCCAAATAGAACTATCCATGAACCTCCAAGTAGAGGCTTTATGCGGAGCTATGTAGGGATAAGTAGGGGTTCCAACGAACTTTGCTAAATCAAGCCTAGGTTGCTGTGTTATGGGGCTTACGTTAAGTTTACATACGGGTCTTAGGGTTTAGGGTTTAGGGCTTTTGGGTTTGGCACATAGGGGTGTTCAAGGCATGGGACCGAGAAGGTCTTGGGGAATCGATGGCACAGCCTCCGAAAACCGGTCCAAGGCTCGGGCCATGGAGCTAAGGTTCAGGGACTAAGGGCTTTGGGGTTGGGATGTTCCTGCTTATACTAAGAACCCTTACAGATGAGAGGGGGTACTCTAATCCCTATTAAGGACTTTGGTTGTGCAAGGGGGAACATCGCAAGTTTAAGGTTTAGCTGCGTTCCTCCAGTTGCTTTGAGACCGACACGGCTCTATCCATCAGGAGTCACGTGGCTACCTCTGCTTCTTGTTGGGGGAGCTAAAGTTCAGGTAAAACGCCTGGGAATGTTAGCTAAACCCTAAACCCGAAACTGCAATGCGGGAACCCTGGTCATCCGTGGGTTGCGCCTCCTCCTCATCCGAGTCCAGCGACACAAGACGCTCGTCCTCACAGCATCAGCCAAGAGAGCCCTTTATACCCCCCCCTTACTATACTAACTTTAGTTAAGGGACTTATAACCTAATTTAGGGTCCTTGTAACCCAATTTAGGGTCCTTATAACTCTACTTATAACTAGGGGGCTCTTTGTAATCCGCCAAGGCTCGGGCCGGAGGTGCATAGGTTGTGAGAACAATTTCGGACCCTTTTTTTGCCTTAAATGGGTACCCCCCCTAGGAAACCGGGGTCCGCAAGCGGACGGTTCGCCAGGAGCAGAGGCAGTTGAAGCCTACCCCCCCCCCCCCGCCCCCCCCCCCCCCTCTCAGACCCCCCCCCCCAACCCCCCCCGCCCCCTACCCCCCCCAGCGACTCGAGCACTGGGCGGGCCGAGGCGGGTCGCGTAGCGTTAAGGAATGCACCTGAAATTATATAGGGACCCTTAAACCCCCCTTATTAAGAAACATACTGTAAATTCTAAAGGGGATTCTTGAAACCCCATACATTAAGGAATATACCCGAAACCATAAAAAGGACCCTTAATATGAGTTAAGGTCTATTCCTTAATAAGCCCCTACTTGGAGGTTCATAGGTGGGTGTAAGTCGGGTTAGAAGTATCCAAAAATAGGGCTACGTTACCATGCTTACCCTACTTATACCTGCCCATGAACCTCCAAGTACACCGTGCCCACTTCTTGAATCCTTGAACCCTGTAAACCTTCTTTTGAGTCTTCCTTCAGATGGGTCATGGGGGCATGTAGTGGCTGTGTTGAAAGGGCCCCTTATATAGCTTTATAGTATAGAGCCCCGTTTACCACATCCTTGTTTGACACAATCTACCATCATGAAGAGCCCCAAAAGAAACGCTCCTTTCGAAGAACTCCCCCACCAACTGTAAACCCTAAACCCCAAACCCAAAACCCCAAACCCCAACCCTAAACCCTAAACCCCAAACCGCGTCTGACATTCTGAAAGGGACCAAAGAAGGCCTCCGTGGCGAAGGCCGGGAATGCTGCGGCTGGTGACTCAAGTCCTTGAGTCCTCGGCTTCTGCGGCTTAGGGTTTAATTAGGGTTTAGGGTTTAGGGTTTAGAGCTTAGGGTTTGGGGCGTTGAAGGTTTAAGCTGTAGGGTTTATATATTGGGATGTTCCCCCTTTATACGAACAGTCCTTAATTACTATCTAGTACCCCCTATTCAAATCCCGATTAAGCAATGTTAGTGTAGGGGGGGGGCATCACAATTTTTATACGGTTCAGGGGTGTAGGGTTTGGGGTTAGGTTGAACCCTATACATGTCCACTTCGCAACTCTCCCACATTCATCACATCCCACCTGTTACCCCGACTCTTCAGGGCCCAAGTACCTCACAATTACATACTTGGGCCCTCAAGTCCCTATTATAGCAAGCACTTCAAGGCCCAAGTATCCTAAACCCTAAACCCTAAACCCTAAACCCTAAACCCTAAACCCTAAACCCTAAACCCTAAACCCTAAACCCTTGGGGGATGCTCAGACCATTAGCTTAAGCACTTGGCTTGGCAGAAGCCCCAAAAAGAAAACTCAGCCCCACCCCTGATCCCTAACCCCTGATCCCGAAACGCAAACCCCTAAACCCTAAACCCTAAACCCTAAACCCTAAACCCTAAACCCTAAGCAATCCTAAGCCCTCAAGCGTTGCAGGCTCGTAGCCTCCCAGATTGAAGATAGCTGAAACAAACCGAAGCCCTGTCTTCCACAGGTGTCGCACAGCGCGCGCCCACGGGGTTCTTTCATCTTTCGACCCAGAACTTAGGGCATGGGGCGTATAGGCTTCAAGGGTATTGGGGTGTGAGACTAGCCACACTGCAGGGTAACAGGGTTTAGGATTTCTTGGGTTTAGGGATGACCCCTAAACCCTGAACCCTGAACCCTATAAACCCTAAACCACAAATCCTCAACCCTGAACCCACCCTAAACCCTAAACCCTAAACCCTGAACCCTGAACCCTGAACCCTGAACCCTGAACCCAGACCCAAAACGCTGCCATACGCTGCCCCAAAATGCAGTCATGGGTGCCATGGCCTCCTTATCCTGAGGGGCTCGCGCAGCTCGCGGGGTTCGGCGGGCTCCTGCGAGGGCTCAGGCGGTGCGTTTAGGGTTTAGGGTTTAGGGTTTAGGGTTTAGGGTTTAGGGTTTAGGGTTTAGGGTTTAGGGTTTACGGTTTAGGGTTCAGGGTTCAGGGTTCAGGAAACAGATCAGGGTTGAGGAGTCAGACGCTATGGGCAGCGGTGTGCCCACAGGATGGGCTATTAGGCCTTATCATCCCCCTGATCAACCCTTTAAAGGGCCTTTTTAAAGGGGTGATAAGGGGTGTAATAGCCCATCTTGGCCGACATCCAAGCGTCTCTCACTCTCCATCCTCAGCCCGCAATTATCATTTTCTGTGCCAAGGCTACCAGCCTGACTCCCGTGCCCACCACAACATAGCCTAGCCGCCTAGCCGCACCCAATCTCCCAGTTCGGATGGAGCTCGGCAAACTCAGTACGCCGTATGACTGTAGTCTCTGGCTGCGGTATACTACCACTTCCTACCATCACGTTGCCCCTGAAAATAGTTTAGGAAGGCTTGTGATCGAGTGACCAGCCACGGTTGCATTCTGCAGGCCCACTGCCCGAGAGCAATGGCCCAGCTAGCAGGCATCATCCCTGGGGACCAAATGAACCCGAACGAACATCGGGGTCAGATACCCTCTACGACTCTAATTCCTATTAAGGTAGTCTATGAACCATCTTGGTCCCGAGGATGATGAGGCAGGTGGCCAAGTTCTTTGGGGACATCTTCAGGCAAGTTTGCAAGGCCCTTCGCTTCCCCAAAACTGCATGGATGGCTTCCATTTCTGATTGACTTCGCTCTCCACTCCGTCTTGAACTTATAACCCCTAAACCCTAAACCCTAAACCCTAAACCTGTTTTCACCCTTTCTTCCAGGCGTTGTAGGGGGGCCGGGATGCCCCGAACTTGTTGCCCTTGGCCGGATCCACCTCCGATGCTGCCATTGTCCATTTCGGGTTTTTCGACCCTCGCACTCGCTGAAGCGGTTTAGGGTTTAGGGTTTGGGGTGGGTTTTGGGTTTATAAGGCCTAAACCCTAAACCCTACACCCTACACCCTAAACCCTAAACCCTAAACCCAAATTTTAGGGTCCAGGGCTTCAGGGATTGAGGGATAGGCAACAAAAGGAAGGAACCCGCGTCCTGCAACTCCACCGGGCCCAACATGGTGGGGTCGACCTGCGTGGACGCGGAGGAGACCTGCGCGGTGCCGCAACCGGGTTCAGGGTTCAGGGTTTAGGGTTTAGGGTTTAGGGTTTAGGGCTTAGGGCTTAGGGTTTAGGGTTTAGGGTCGAATCCCGAGCCCCTGCATTAAACCCTCTTTCGACCCAGTCTTCTCATTAAATCTAAGGACCGTAGAGCTACCCCCTCGAGCTGCCCCCCAAGATATCCCACAGGGCTTTAAGCTTAAACTAGGGTGTATGGTGAGCCGTTGAGAAGCAACATGTCGTTCAAAATTGGCTTGCCCCAGCCTGCCCGGACCCCCCTAAATCCAACTTACGCGGGGCTTGGCGGTAGCTCCAAATTCCGCCCCTGAAATCCAGCCTTTGGGGCTCCCCCCAAATTCAGGGACTATCCAGCACTATTCCGGGACTGTTTTGGGGCGATTCGGGACGATTTTCTGGAATCTAGAACTGTGTCGTTTGCTACAAGCGCAGTTCCTGAGGGCACTTGCATGGGGATGTAGGCCGAAAACGAGTCTGTAAAGTGTTGATATAGTCTTATACAAGGATTATATCGCGTCTATTTGGGGCTATACTGTTGCCATACCGGGACGGAATATGAGGGTAGCTCTACAGTCCTTAGATTTAAGAACCCCTAAACCCTAAACCCTAAACTCTAAACCCGAAACCCTAAACCCACACCCTGAATCCTTAAACCCTTGACGACTTGGGTGAGATGTGTTTTGTTTTTTGCTATGGCGAGCGAGACTCATAGAGTCATCGAGCATGTCTTCGGGCTACTATACGGCCTGCGAAGGGGTGATGCCTCCTTCCTCAACTAGCAATCGCTCAAAAAAGTATGTAGAACTGAAGGTATGTCGTGCGTATGACCCTATACTTGCAGCACCTACTACATACCCTAAACCCTAAACCCTATAAATTTCCCGCGCTTCTTGCCTTTGTGCGCCGGAGCTGCGCCTCCCGAACTTGCCGCCACCGGGGGGAGACCTCCAAGCTTGTCCAGTCGGAGCTTGCCAGACCGCACCGCAGATCTCATTTAAAAGCAAACAGGAAGGGTTTAGGGTTTAGGGTTTCGGGTTTCGGGTTTAGGGTTTAGGGTTTAGCCCCTGCATTGTTGCCCACCCTCTGCATTCCTCAACGCTTCAAAACGCATAGAATCGCAGGCGCGAAGCCACAAAGCAAAACCTTTCCCGATGCATTGACTCCCCATGTTGCCCTTTCATCCCGAAGCCTACCCACCTGAAGCGTTAAAGCTCCCAGACACTTGTTTGAACATTGCAATGTCCTAAATCACATGGCAACCGCCAGAAGTTCCCAGCACATGTCGGCACCCCTGTTGACAAGCCCCGCATGCCGCCAACCTCCTTTCTGGCCTAGGTTCCTAGCAGATTTCTATAGAAGCCAAATAAAGTTTACAGGCAGAGGGTTTAGGGCGTAGGGTTAGGGATTATACTGATACTACCTCAACCCTAAACCCTAAACCCTAAACCCTGTACAGCCCCCAGGTGCATCAAGCAAGCTGCAGGAGATTCCGGCTTTGCGTGGCGCCCATCCAAGACCTCCTCGGCGGCTCGCAGAACCTCTGCGTCCTCAGCTTGCCGGGTTGCTGAGGGTTTAGGGTTTAGGGTTTAGGGTGTGGGGTTTGGGGTTTGGGGTTTAGGGCTTGGGGGTTCTTATAAGGTTGCAGGGGGAGTCTGTAACCCAAGGTTCTCTGATACTCCCTACTACTCCCTAAGGTTCCCTAGGTACCGACTCCCCATGAAACCCCCTCCTTTAAGAACACTAGAACTCTTGCATCAAGGTCACCAGGGACGTTTGGATTCCCCTCTCAGACCTGTTCGCCGCAAGGAGTGCCGGCTGACGACTCACTTCCTGGCTGGTGATGCGAGCAGCTTAGAATCTGTAAGGAAAACCACAATAAACATGCACCCAAACCCCTACAAACCGTAGTACGGGGTTTTTCTGACTGGGAGGCATTGCAACAGGACGAAAGTGGGGAAAGCATGGGAAAGCCGTGCAGCGAGTAAGTGGGCGCCGACAGCGTGCTGTCTGTAGCCCCCCCTCGACATGTAAGTAACTCTGCTAATTCTAGCCTACTTCCTGAAAAAAACCATCGAGAACCAAACCCTGAACCCTAAACCCTAATTGAACACTAAACCATTGCATCTGCAGCCAAGGTTCTGTGCCCACACTGCCCACGCTGCTTTCGCGGTCCGACACCGAGCTGTCCTGGGATCGGGTTGGCGTGCGCAGTGCATGGGCTTTCTCAATCCCAGGATGGGCTAAAAATAGCCCCTCTCGGGTTTAGGGATTTTTTTTGCCACCCGCTAGGATCCCAGGGGGGCTCTGCTAGGCGGGTTTAGGGTTTAGGGTTTAGCAGGTTTAGCCCTTCAAAGTCCTCATAATTCAACCCCATTAAGCCTTGTTGAGGGTAAAAGGGTATTGCCATAAGGCCGTGGAGTTTTCAGAGTCAACCCTATAAAGGGGCCATTTTAAGGGGTCGTAGGGTATAGTAGCCCATCCTTGTCTGTTCAACTCTCTGAAAGTTGTTAACAGCCCTTCACAAGGATTTTAATAGGGGGTACTACAATCCCTATTAAGGACTGGTAGTATAAGGGGGAACATCCCAAATTGCTCGCCCTAAACCCTAAACCCTAAACCCTAAACCCTAAACCCTAAACCCTAAACCCTAAACCCTAAACCCTAAACCCTTGGGCTCTTCATGGGGGAGCCCTTTCATACCCCTTATCAGCCCCTGATGAGACCTTATGTACTACGGCCTTCTTTCGACCTGGATGATATTTTTGAGGTCTGATTAAATAAATCTGCCACCTGCCCAGCTGGATTACGACTCCGAGGAACCAAGTCGGGACGAAGCACGCTCGGAGTGCCCAGCTACCCTAAACCCGTTTTGAGCACGGCTACCCTAAACCCTAAACCCTAAACCCTAAACCCTAAACCCTAAACCCTAAACCCTAAACCCTAAGCCTAAACCCTAAACCTAAACCCTAAACCCAGCTTGGACCTGCGCAGTAATTACGAACTCTGCATGTTGACAGCCTACACAGCTGGATGAGCCGCCTCGAAGGGCTAAGTATGTCTTGGAGGGAAGATGGAGAATCCTAAACCCTAAACCCTAAACCCTAAACCCTAAACCCTAAACCCTAAAGCCCACCGAATAGCCGGAAAGTCTACCGAACTCATGATGTGACTCCTTTCCTTCAGATTTGGCAGTTGATCAAAAATCACTCTCTTAGTTGTCCAGCACCTAGGGGGTTTCAAGGTTAACCTTTGGGATTATAAGGGGAATATATTAACCCAAAAAGGTTAGAGGTTACCTACTCTACTACTAAGCTCTGTCCCTGAAACGTATCTTTCGCCAAGATGAAAAATGTCTTTTCGCGGAGCTTTAGCGCGCCCAATCGCGCGCACTCCTGAGCCCCAAGGCCTATCATCACATCCCCGGCGCCTACGTGCTACAGCGACGCCCCTGCGCACTTCTTGAGGAGAAGCCACGTGAGGCTGGGCCCTTCATGGGATACGTTGGACTTTCGCGGGACTTTCGCGGAGCTTGCGCCAGTCTTTCGCAAAATGTCAGGCTTTCGGAAACTGACTTCCTAAACCCTAAACCCTATAAAGCCTCAAACCCTAAAACCCAAATTGAACCCTAGACCCTCGCTGCGTGCAGTGTGGTCCGACGGAGGAGGTCGGAATATACCTTACAGCATATTCAGGATCCCTATCTAACTTAAGGTATCTTCCTGAGTTCAGGAGTCTTGGGCTGCCTGGGTAAACCTGATACAAGGAGGGGCCCCCTTACTATACTAACTGTAGTTGAGGGACTTACAACCTCATTTATCATTCTTATAACCCAATTTTATAACTCTACTTATAGCTCTACTTATAACTCTACTTATAACTCTGCTTCTAACTCTAACTACTTATAACTCTACTTCTGACTCTACTGATAAGTCTACTTCTAACTCTCCTTGTACACAGTGACACAGTGTTCGAGAGCCCAAGCATCCCTCTCCACTGAGATCTTTCGCGGAGCGGCCTTCCTCAGACCTGCCACCGCATGGACTACTCGGCTTCTCGTCGCTTCTGTTGGGGCCACCCTAGATCACTTTGGCAGGCACCCTAAACCCTAAACCCTAAACCCTAAACCCTAAGCCGCATGCACCCCGCCCCCCCCCCCCTCCCCCCCCCCCGGCACATCAAGACGCAACCCCCCCCCCCCCCCCCCCCCCCCGGCACATCAAGACGCAAACAACAAACAGCGAAAGAACTGAAAGCCCAAGTCCCGAATCTTGGGCCAACGCCAACCTCCCTAACTTGTAGGCCTACTTGGAGGTTCATGGGTGCTGATAAGTAGGGTTATAAGTACCCTCAGTAAGGTGATAACCATAGTTACCCTACTTATGACCCTACTTCTAAGTGCCCAAAAACCTCCAAGTAGCCCTAAACCCTAAACCCTAAACCCCAAACTCGCCTGACAGGTCGCGCGATGTGGACCTCCTGCGCTGCGAGGCTCGCTTGCCCAAAGCCTCCGCAAGGGTCGGGCTTAACATCCAGAGGCCTCAGGCTCAAAACTGCACAAAATCCTTAAGAACCCTAAAACCTACAAGGAGGGGCCCCCTTACTACCCTAACTGTAGTTAAGGGACTTATAACCTCATTTAGGATCCTCATGACCCAATTTAGGGTCCTTATGACTCTACTTATAACTAGGGGGCCCCTCCTTGTATAGTTTTTGTTAGGGTTCCCAAGGAAGCTGTAAGGGGAATTATGCGAAATAACCTACCAAAAAGTAGGTCTCTTGGGTTCTTAAGGATGATGAAACACTTAAGCCGCTCAACTCAGATCCAAGCCTTCCTTGCGTTTTGAAGACTTCCGGAGCCCCGAACCCTAAACCTAGGGTTTAGGGTTTAGGGTTTAGGGTTTAGGGTTTAGGGTTTAGGGTAAATTCTCGACCCCTTGGCAGATAGTTGAGGGAAAGGCATTAAGATGTATAGATATCCATTTTTAAAACGTGGCGCGTCTTGACTGGAGACCCCTCAGCACTTGCAATACTTCCAGATAAACCCAGGCCCTAAACCCTACACCCTAAACCCTGAGCTCATGAGGTCCATTTCTTCTCCGTCGTCACACACAAGTGACTTCGCTTCTGGATTGGTGACGAGACTGCTTGCATAAGCCCCTTTATGCGCCAGGGCTCTCTCAAGTGCATAAACCCTAAACCCTAAACCCTAAACCCTAAACCCTAAACCCTAAACCCTAAACCCTAAACCCGCAATCATTTGAAGGCTCAGGCGGGCCCGGCCTCGCTGTCATTCGTGGCCACGGATCCCGCCGATCTTTCGCGGGCCTGCGCCACTGCGACAGTCACTCAAAAGCTCATACCTACCAAGGGTTTAGGGTTTAGGGATTAGGGTTTAGGGTTTAGGGACTAAGGATCTAAGGAGTAGTTACCTGGTCCCTTGGTATGTGCCCTTCTTAGGGTTGAAACAGACCATACCCGGATCTTCCAAAACCCCTTAAGTAAGGAATATACCCGAATGTGTACTAAGCATCATGACTATGAATTCGGGCAGATTCCTCCATTAAGAGGTTTTGGAAGATCCGGGGATGTTCGGGGCCCATACATGGTGTAGGAGTTCGGGTCCTGGACTTGTCTAGGCAGGGAGTGGGGTTTAGAGGGAGTGGGGTTAGGGTTTAGGGCTTAGGGTTTAGGGTGTAGGGTTTCTTGTGTAATGTGAAGCAGAGTACTCGTACAAGGAGGGGCCCCCTTACTGTACTAACTGTAGTTCTAACCAAATTTAGGATCCTTATAACCCAATTTAGGGTCCTTATACCTCTACTTGTAACTAGGGGGCCCCTCCTACTCACAGCTTACGCCACGCAAAGCAATGAGGTAGCAAGTTTCGTAAAACGCCCAGTTCTGCCCTAAACCCTAAACCCTAAACCCTAAACCCCTAAACCCCTAAACCCCTAAACCCCTAAACCCCTAAACCCCTAAACCCCTAAACCCCTAAACCCCTAAACCCCTAAACGCCTAAACGCCTAAATGCCTAAACGCTAAACCCTAGGCCCTAAACCCTAAACCCTAAACCCTAAGCCCTTGAATTCCGACAGCTTTCATTAGCGAAGTCAAGTCAGCTCCAGGAGCCCTAAAGCTCAAACTGTAGACCCTTCATTCACACTGAAGCCCCTTACATGCACAGCAAGTTCTCACAAGGTTTAGGGTTTAGTTTAGGGTTTAGGGTTTAGGGTTTAGGGTTTAGGGTTGAGGGTTGAGGGTTGAGGGTTGAGGGTTTAGGGTTTGGGGTTTAGGGTTTAGGGTTTAGCATTCAAAGGCTCCGAGGTGCTGGAAGGGCGAAGGGTTTATGGGGTTTAGGCTTGATGGTGTTTATATGGGCATTTCCCAAAATAGGGTTTAGGGTTTATGGTTTAGGGTTTAGGGGTACCCCTTTGATACCCAAACTAGAGTAGAATCCCCTTAAAGGGACCCCCCCCCAAAAAAAAAGGATTGCCTATTTTCGGAAACCCCTGTTTCGAGTTTAGAAGGTTTTTGTAGGGAGATCAGAGGGTTTGAGGGGGTACTATGGGGCTCCTAAGCCCTAAACCCTCAACCCCCTAAACCCTCAAACCTAAACCCCCTAAACCCTAAACCCTAAACCCTACTAAACCCTAAACACTAAACCCTAAACCCTAAACCCCCTAATAGCGGGGGGGGGGGGGGGGGGGGGGGGGGGCGCAAGGCGCCTTGGAGTTCTTCCTTCGAGAGTTGGCGCGGTTCGCCTGCATCAGGCTCCAGGGACATGAAGTAGAAGTAGAAGACGAAGTAGTAGGAATAGGGTTTAGGGTTTAGGGTTTGGGGTTTGGGGTTTGGGGTTTGGGGTTTGGGGTTTGGGGTTTGGGGTTTGTGGTTTAGGGTTTTGGGTTTAGACTAGTAGAAGGACTGGGGTAATTAGATAGGAAGAGCAAAGCAGAGCGGGAGCGGCATCGTAGCAAGAGGAGGTGTTGCTTGCGTAGCCTTGGCAGCGGCAGTGGCAGTCGTCCACCCTAAACCCTAAATCCTAAGTCCTCAGCCCCTAAACCCTAAACCCCAAACCCACACAAACAGCCTCCTGCATGACACTATATGGAGAACTCCGCGAAGGGCGTCATGCTTAAGAAACGCAGCTGGCGTCTCAAGGCACAGCCGTGTTTGGGCACCCTAAACCCTAAATCCTAAACCCTAAGCCCGAAACCCTAAACCCTAAACCGCTTCCGCGCCTCAGGTATCTCCATTGACGTCACCGTGACATCGAGGTCCAAGCAGTCCAAGCAATCCAAGTCATCCACTTCAAGGTCCACCTCCTCTTGGACCTCCTTCGGAAGGCATTGAATACAAGGGTTTTGGGTTCCCCAGATCTTCCAAAAACCCCTGAATTAAGGAGTATACCCTAATTTATACCAAGGATCATGCTTATGAATGAGGGTAGATTTCTTAATAGATATAGTTTTGGAATGGGTCTTCAGCATATCAGACTTGCAGGTGCTTTACGGCTTTACGCGCTTCTCTTTCAGATCGGGTGGCTTTGGGTTTGCGGTCCCCTAAACCCTAAACCCTAAACCCCAAACCCTAAACCCTAGGCCCAACATCGCCATCCCCACCCTAAACCCTATAACCCTAAACCCGAAACCCTACAACCTAAACCCTATACCCTATACCCTAAACCCTAAACCCCAAACCTTCAGCTCGTTCCTTGCTCTGTCGGTTGCCCGCGCTGTCGGTCATTGGCACATCGTCCAGGGTTTGGACTTCGGCAGTGGACGTGCTTACACAAACCTGAGTCCGTCAAAAGGGGCTTGCTGTTGGGTTGTTCCCCCTTATAGTGACAGTCCTTTACAGGTATTATACTTGGGGGTACTCTCATCCCAAAAAAGGACTGTTATAAGGGGGAACATCCCAAGCTTACGGAGGTAAGATGTCTTGAAAGACGCTCAGTCAAGCAGGGCTTCGGAACGTTTTGGAGCATAATTTCATTGTGTAGGGCAGGACTTAATGCCAGCGGAGAAAAAAAACTCTCTCCAACAACAAAAATAGGCCCGAAGGCCCCGAATGTGCGCAAACTGTGTCTTGGACAAAGACCCGCAAGCCAGAAAAACAAATGAGACATGCTTTACAGCCTTGGGGGACCACATGGACCCCGTAAAATTGGGTGTCATATACCCTACGTAATGCGAACCCCTACACCCCTTTAGGGTTCATATTTGGTCCCAAAGGAACCCCGACCTCCCAAAAGAGCCCAGCATCCCTTTATTCAGGAATATGCCTTAAATCATATTAAGGATCCCTATATATAATTGAAGGTTCCTTCATTATAGGGGTTTTGGGGATCCCTTTTCAATTAAAGTCATATTCCTTACGATATGATCTAACGTCACATTCATATTCCTTAACTAAGGGGTATGAAGGCTCCCTGGACTTCTCTTCTTCGGCGCTTCATCCGGCGAGTGACGGTCTCGGTTGCCTTGCTCTCCCGCTTCTCCTGCAGCTCAGGGCTGCGGCTTTGGCATTGGTATCCTAAGCCCTAAGCCCTAACCCCTAGCCCTAAACCTAAACCCTTCCAGAAACCCTTTTTGACCCTAAACCCTCACTACGGAACCGGGACTTAACGAACTTCAGGGCTGAGGGTTCTAGGGTTTCGGGAAAACAGTCTCTAGCAAGCCAGTCCCTGTGTAGTTGTGTAACCATGCTATAGTGTAAACGGCGCTGCTTAAACGTATTCGCATCTTCGGTTCAAAATGGGGGCAACAGTGCGGAGGAACTAAGCTCGGCTTCCTGCAAGAGAAAGGTTGAACCCTCCCAAAGCGGCATACTGGTGTACGAACTCGCCAAAAAAAAAAAAAAAAAAAAAAAAAAAAAAAAAAAAAAACAGCGCGCAGACACTCCGGTCACTAAGTATAGGCGTGCAAGATTCGTCACCTTCTACAAAAGCCATCTAAAGACTTGAAGCCTCAAGTGTTTAAGACACTCACTTGCCAGGGCTTGCGTGGACGCTGCAATGTTCCCAACTGGACGGGAAAGCCCAGAACAAATCTCAAATGCTCTATAAAAACCAAGAACTTGGGATGTTACCCCTTATACTAACAGTCCTTAATAGGGATTCCAGTACCCCCTACTATAATCCCGATTAAGGACTGTTATTATAAGGGGGAACATCCCCAAACAAGAACTGAAGTGTCTAAAGCAGGGTCTCCACCACTGTCTGTGTAGCCGCGTCCAGTTGCTCTGGAGCCTGAAACGTGGCGGTTTTTGTTGGTTGAGGGTTTAGGGTTGAGGGTTGAGGGTTTAGGGTTTAGGGTTTAGGGCACCACTCATCTTGAGCTGGGGGCTTTGGGATTCAGGCTGCGAATACTGTACCGCAGTGAAAAAGGACGTGACATCGACACTTCATGAACAGGAGTCCCTAAACCCTAAACCCTAAACCGACTCTCACACACTATGGAGCCGCGCTCGTCCAAGCGAATACTTGACATGTGCAACCTCCAACCTTTTGCCTCCAACTTGCCAAGCTCAAAAACCCTAAACCCTACACCCCCACCAAAAAAGACAAGGGGACCTCTAAACCTTTAATCATGAACCCTAAACCCTAAACCTCCCCCCAAAACACGAGGAAATCTCTGAACCTTATAATTCCTAAACCCAAAGCCCCCACAAAAAAGAGAAAGGGGATCCCTGAACCCTGAACGCCAAAACCCCTCGAAAAGACGAGGGAGAACCCTTGAAAAGGAGCCCAGAAACCTTACATCCTAAATCCTAAACCCTAATTTCGCTTTTAAGAAAAACCAGGGGATCCTTAAACAACATAGAGAAGACAACCCTAGAAAGGCTGAACCCTAAACCCAAAACCCCTTAAACCCTAAACCCTAAACCCCAACAATTTTCCGACCTCCATTCTTTTCGCCAGCAGATCGCCCTGAAGGTTGGCCTTCGCAAAAGCCACTGGGCGATGATAGCCCTCTAGAGGTGTGTTTAGGGTTCTTGTTCGCTTTAGGGTTTAGGGTTTAGGGTTTAGGGTTTAGGGTTTAGGGTTTAGGGTTTAGGGTTTAGGGTTGAACTCATGGGCCCCCTAGAGGCGCCTTTAAAGGTTAGGGTTGGGATGCTCCCTCTTATACTAACAGTCCTCAATAGGGACTATGATAGGGGGGTACTGCAATCCCTCTTAAGGACTGTCAGTATAAGGAGGATCATCCCAAGGCGTAGGGCTTAGGGCATGGTAGGGTTTTGGGTCTAGGGTTCAACTCATGGGGCGCGCGAGAAAAAATGGTTATGTTGACATTTTCCAAGAACCCAAAGAGCAAGTGGGGGTTCTATTTGGGTCGTTCTGTAGAGGGTTGAGGAGTCAAAGATCGCACGACCACCTTTGTAATTCTGATGGGGCACTTTGGGGTTGGGCACCCCAGGGACAATTGTGGAGTTGGGCACTCAAGGGACGTTCTGGTGTTGCGCACTCCAGGACACTCTGGGGTTGGGCACCCTGGGGTTAGGCGAGGAGCAGACCGGGCGAGGAGAAGAGTTGAGTTTAACATCTAACAACCCCACAAAATAGACAAACAGAAACAGCAATGAATTTGCGGGAGTTTAGGTACAAAGCGTTGTTTCAGTCACCGGCATGTGAAGCGACTTTCGTTGCCTTTGCTTTTAACGTCCAAGGCCGTAGCCGTATACGAGTGTCGAACCCAAACCCTAAACCCTAAACCCTAAACCCTAAACCCTAAACCCTAAACCCTAAACCCTAAACCTAACCCTAAACCTTAAACCCAAAACCGCAACCCTTTTCCCACCCAGGCCTCTGTGACTCTGTAGATCGTCGGGCCTAAACCTCAACCCGACGGTTTAGGGTTTAGGGTTTAGGGTTTAGGGTTTAGGGTTTAGGGTTTAGGGTTCAGGGTTTAGGACCCTAGATCCTTCCCTCATGGCCTGCATGGCTTTGGTCTTGAGCTTGTAGAGTAGCTGCTGGTTCTCCTTCGTAAGTCTCTCGAGCTGGACCAGGTGCTGCTCCTGCAAGTTCACAAACCTCTTATTATATATGATATTCCTACTACTAATTACTAATATTGCATATAGTATTCCTACTACTGTAATATTATTATTCTTACTCTTCTTGTTATCAGTATTGTTATTTTCATTTTTGTTTTTTGTTGATGCTATTATTACTATCATTATGAGTATAGTGTACTATGACTTTAATATTATGATATTCAACAACTAAGTAGCCTTACTATGTTGCGGTGTGCTTGCGGCATTTGTCTATTTTATTGCGTTCTTCCCAGCGGACTTCGCTGCCGCTGCCGCAGAAAGCTAAGCTCTGGATGCCATTGGCGTGTTGACGACAACACGAAAGATGCACAATGCTATCTTAAAGGCATTACTGCTCGACTACCCCTAAATGTCCATGTACCTAATTAGGGTACACTTGGGCCTTAAAGTACCTTGTGTATAAGGACTTTCTGGCCCACGTATATAATAACAAGGTACATGGACCCTTAGGGTACTAAGTCTACTGCGGAAAGAAGGCTTAAGCAGACTCCTCCAATCGCTTCTTCTGCTCCTCAAGCAGCTCATCCACCTCTGCCTTACGGGCTGCGGGTGCTTGGTGATGAAGCCGACAAACAACGACAGACACATAGATTCGGTAAATGCGCATTGACTGCGCAGAAGCAGATCGACAGGATGGAAACACACGTGCGCTTATGCGCATAAACGCCCGCGCCCACGCCCGCGCCCGCGCCCGCACACACACGCGCGCCCGCGACGGCGCCCAGGCCCAGACCCATGGGCACATACACATACACATGCACATACTCATACACATACACACACGTTACGAACCAACTTGCGGACCAACTGCATGCCGACATTGGTTCCCAGTATGGAAACAGACCAGGAGACGTGCCCCGGAGTCCACATCAGCTCTAGATTCTACATCCCGCCTCGCTCGGACGCTCGCTGACGGAGAAGTGTGAAATAATGTCGGGGACGAACTCATCTCCTCTCTCCTGTGCCGGGCACCAACCAACAAAACGGATCACCTGCAAAAGATGGCGAACAAGTACAAGCTAATATGTTTATATATATATATATATATGAAAGCCCTACTGTAAACTATATCTCCATGCCTGGACCTGTCTTCTGTTATATGACGTACAAGTTCACAGTTTGAGCCTGGAATACGGGCTTGTAGGTACCCGAAGATTCAGATCCTTCGAGCAGGGGCCTTCGTTGTCGCCTGCGTCGCTGTCAACAAGAAGCACGATCAGCGACCAAGGAAACCCTAAACCAGCAAAGGTCAAAACGGGGCTGCGCAGGTCGGCGCCTGGGTGCTTGTAGCACTAGTGCGTCCCCGCAATGTGGATTAGGGTTTAGGGTTTAGGGTTTAGGGTTTAGGAGTTTAGGAGTTTAGGAGTTTAAAAAGGTTCTGGGTTTACGATTTGGTGGAAACACCCTGAACCCTAACCCCCAAGCCCCAACCCCCTTTTCGTCCTCGGCCTGCTGCTTACGGACCAGCTGCTGGCGCAGGCCAGCTACCTCCATTTTTTGGGGTCTGTGTAGGGTTTATGGGGCTTTTGCAACCATGTCTCTGCAGGGGTTATGGGGCTACTAGGGACTACCTGCGACTCTCTTTACCTACAGTGTTATGGGTTGTACCTACGAATTAAGGGGGTAGCTACTTCTAAACTGTAGGCAAATAGGGTGTCCCGGGTAGGTCTAATGCAGGATTTAGGGTGTTTAGGGCTTTTCAGAGGCTTGGTGGGGTTCAATCATTCATCCTTTTGGGTTTGCTATGCTTTGTAGGCTAGACCACAGACCGGGTCATGCGGCTGCTACTTGCGAGTTCCATTCGGTTAGTGATTGCGCGTCGAGGGCGTAGGGTGGACTGGGCCTGTCTGTGTTCAAACCCAACAAATTAGCGGGGTTATAACCACCCTAACCCTAAACCCTAAACCCTAAACCCTAAACCCTAAACCCTACACCCTTTTTTACAGCAGGCCTGGGTTCACAGCAGCCCGGTTCCAGCATCACGCTCACTACTGCAGAGCGAGCATTGACGCTGAGATCTCTCTGGATACTAGTTGAAAGGTGAAAATCTTACTGTATTCTCTGAAGACTAAGTGATGAAGCTGCATAAGCTCAGAAGTGAAAGCCTCGAATGAACCCTAAACCCTAAACCCTAAACCCTAAACCCTAAACCCTAAACCCTAAACCCTAAACCCTAAACCCCTAAACCCCTAAACCCTGAACCCATACGCAGGGCCCCAAAAGAGTAGGTAAATGCAGCCGCGGGGTTGGAGTGGGACTCACAGCTGCAGACCTGGCCTCTCGATAGTAAGCCTCCCTCATCCTCGCCAGCTCACTCCTGGCGCTCTAGTCTTGGGGTTTAGGGTTTAGGGTTTAGGGTTTAGGGTTTAGGGTTTGGGGTTTGGGGTTTGGGGTTTAGGGTTTAGGGTTTCCGGTTTAGGGATTAGGGTTCGGGCATTCTGGCTGCAGGTTTGGGGCCGTGGAGAGTTCGAGGTCACGCAGCCAGAGGTGATCCCAATGGCAAACTGCCCTATACATTCTCTATACTGAACTTGGAACCCTAGCAAAAACTTTAATTTTAGCTGTTTCTTAGGAAATTCCAGTACCCAAAAACTAATAACATTTTTCCAAATATCCCCTAAGTTCTGGGTTTGTCAGGATTTGGGGGTGGCAACTATAGAACGAACTAGGGGAAACACACCCCAGCAGTAGTTTTAGCCAGAATAAGTAGTCAATTTGGGCGGTTTACGAAAGTAAGGGACTCCCAATATTAACCCCAAAAATAGTAGGATTTCCTAATCATGAGGGTACCCCTAATTTCGGAAATCCCCATTTGCTTCCCTAAACCCCCCTCAACCCCCCTAAACCCTAAACCCTAAACCCTAAACCCCAAACCCTAAACCCTAAACCCTAAATCCCCCAGATCCTCGCCCGTTGGGCGCGCAGGTTTGCTGTGGTGGCCTGTGAGAGCTTCGCCTGCCAGTCCTCCCCAAGGTTACGGCATTTAGAGGGTTTCGGGTTTCGGGTTTAAGGCTTAGAGTTGGGGTCTTAGGGTTTAGGGTTTAGGGTCTAGGGTCTTAGGGTCTTAGGGTCTTAGGGTCTTAGGGTCTTAGGGTCTAGGGTCTAGGGTCTAGGGTCTAGGGTCTAGGGTCTAGGGTCTAGGGTCTAGGGTTTAGGGTTTAGGGTTTAGGGTTTAGGGTTTAGGGTTTAGGGTTTAGGGTTTAGGGTTTAGGGCCCCTTATACTAGCAGTCCTTAGTAGGGATTATCGTTCCCCCTATATGATCATCCCTCTTAAGGACTGTTGTTATAAGGGGGGGACAAGCCAAGTTTCGGGCTTCATGCTGTTCTGGGGGCAAGGATGGGCAAGGCTTGCAGCCGGAGGCTTCGGGGGCAAGCAAACGACGCTTGCTGACGGCGTATGCTCGGGCGCACGAGTTCGCGCCCTCTTCTCAGATGACTTGTCTCTTCCGGGCTCTGGTACGAGTCCCAACATCCACTCCTCGCGATGACCTTAAGAAACCCTACTTGTTTTGTAGGTTCTTAGTATAAATCCCGTTGTGGGATTCTTGGGAAGCCTACCAAAAAAAGGTAGGTTTCGGGTTCTTAAGGGAGGGCTTAGGGCGGTGATTCGACACCATGAGATCTCACACTGCAAACGGTTCCATGCCTGAAGGTGCTGCTCGCAACGTAGCTTCGCCACCTGCGCGGGGTTTAGGGTTTAGGGTTTAGGGTTTAGGGTTTAGGGTTTAGGGTTTAGGGTTTAGTAGGGCAATTTTAGGGTTAAGGGGTTAGGGCTTACTAGTTCATGGTGGGGATAGAATAAAAAAATCTAAGTTCCTCTTCCTGATTACCCTTAAACATTTAAAATGTTACCCCGCTATGACACAGCCTACATGAAGCGTCGGGCGCCAACCCTAAACCCTAAACCCTAAACCCTAAACCCGGCCTGGTACAGGTCGTTGTTGCAAGGGCCAGCATCGAGCAGGTCGCCCTCCAGTCTGACGGCAAGCTCGTCGAAAGTGTCCACCTGAGTAGCCGCCCCTCGACATCCGGTTTAGGGTTTAGGGTTTAGGGTTTAGGGTTTAGGGTTTAGGGTTTAGCCAGATGCCCAGAGAGCCCTTGAAAAAAACACTGAATTAAGGAAGATAGCTTGAATTTCATACTAGGGATCCCTATACAACTTAAGATATTTACCATAATACCTGCGCTAAGGGGTAGAAGGGGCTGTCTGGATGAGAAGTTTTCAGTCTGCTCTCCTGGTGCACAGCGACCGCGTACCTGAGTCAGACCTCCCAATCTGGGTTTAGGGTTTAGGGTTTAGGGTCCTGGGCCCGTGGCGATGGCCGTCTGCACCCGCGAAAAGACAGCTCCGGGCTTCACCGAAAACTTCTGCAGAAAGTCGAAGCCTCCGATGTTCATGTGGTCAGGCGTGTCAGGTTTAGGGTTTAGTGTTTAGGGGCTTGAAGTTCTCTAAATTCTGTTCGTTTTTGGGGGGTCTTCTTATAAGGCGGCCCTGTTTAGGGCACCCAAAAAGGTGCCATAATTGAGAGAACTCTCCATGTGAGGGGGGGAGCTGTTTCGAGGTTCTAAGAGCCCAATATTGCTTAATTAAGGAATATTCCTTAAATCATATAGGGATCCTTAATATGATTTAAGCTATATTGCTTAATTAAGCTATGTTGGGCTCTTTGGGTTCTTGAAGGTCCACATGAAAGAAGGGGCGAGTTCATCTTGCGAGTCTTATCTTCTGTGGGGATGCCGCATAAGGCTCTATCTAAGGGTCGCTACGAGGGATATAAGGGGTTCCCCTTTCTTAAAGGCCCATGCTAAGGGACCATATGACTACCCTCAGGCTTTACAAGGCTCTGCACACGTGGCGTTTCAGTATGCCACCGACTGCCGACCTCAGAAGCCATCGGCGAAACCCTAGACCCCCCTGGTCACCCTCGGACCACTGTGGTTCAGACTCCAGGCTTGGGGCAAGCGCTCAGGGCAGTTTAGGGTTTCGGGCTTCCATGGGTTTAGGGTTGGAAGAGTTTAGGGTTTAGGGTGTGGGCTTCAGGGGCTGTTCAGGGTTTCGGGCTCATTTGGGACGAGAGCTTCTCTGTGTCGCCATTTTTTTTTTTTTTTTTTTTTTTGGGGGGGGGGGGGGGGGGTTGGGGGTCCAATCAGTCTGAAGGACCTGCCTTAGATAGCGGTATCGAAAGCACACCTATAAGGCCACTGTTGTTTTTGCTTGATCTTCTCGAGTCCGGACCCAGATTCCAAAATCCCACACACCCCTGAAACCCAAAAACCCTTTCTTGAGCAACGGACTCTGAGGCTACCGGCACACATGCAACTGCTCCCTAAGCCCTAAACTCTGGTCCTTTTTCACTTCAATTTTTCAGTAGCCCAGTAGCCATATTATGAGAAGGGTACCCTTTTTTTCGGGTTGGTTACTCTGCAAGGGAACCTTGAACCCACCAAAAAAGGGGGCAAAAGAGCACCACTGGGCTACCAAGATTTAGCTGATACTTGGGACTCGCCCTAAACCCTAAACCCTAAACCCTAAACCCTAAACCCTAAACCCTAAACCGTCATGGGGCCAACTGCAGGAAGCTCCACCCTCAGCAGCAGGGAGGTCTCCACCGGGGCTTTTTCGGAGTGGGCTCGGACCATGGCTCAAACGCTCGCTGGCCCAAGAACCCAAAGACTCCAATATCACTGATAATTGAGGAACAGACCTTAAATCATATTTGGGGTCCTACTATAGTTTAAGGTATATTCCTTACTTAAGGGATTTTGGAGTCTCTGGGAAGCCCTCCGAATCTCGACGCCCTATTAACCCTAAGGATGATACAGGCCGGCAGGCGCTATATCTGCTACCCTTATACCTAGATAGAGCCCCCAGATTCCTAGATACCCTGATAAGAACCCCGGTATATGGCCCTATGAAGCAGAAACCCCTTCTTAAGGAGACCACCAACTCATCAAACCGAGGTCCATGGTTCGGGGGGGGGGTCAGGGTTCGGACTGCGCAGCTTCTTCTTCATGGCGGCAAAGGGTGATCGACTCGGGGCTTAAACAAAAACCACCCACAAAGATCGAGATCGTTGATCTCGCGCAGTGGAGCCACCTCAAAAGCGGCCGGGCGCCGTCGCAACTTACAATCTCGAAGGGCCATACCTGGGTTAACCCTAAACAGAGTAAGTAACCTAAGAATAAGCAGGATGGGTGATGATACCCTATATCCCCTGAAACAGGCCCTTTTTAGGGTTGACTATGAACATGTTACGGCCTTAGTTACACCCTATCACGTTGATTATGGGGATTAGAAGGCATAATAGCAACTCCGGGTCAGAAGGAAAACCTCTTCAACCCTGCGTGAAAGGTGTAGGGTTTAGGGTTTAGGGCGTGGGGTTCAGAAAACCTCTTGAAAGGAGATCCATGTGTCAAGGTGCAGGATATGGGGCTACCCCCACACCCCCCCCCCCTCCCAAAGAGCCTCTAACGACGCAACATCCGTTGACGGGTTCAACCCTTCACTGCGATTTTCCCCTAAAGGGGCCATGTACCTAAATAGGGAATACTCGGGCCTTAAAGTGCTTGCTATATATAGGGACCAAGTATACAATAACTAGGTACTTGGGACCCTTAGCCTTAGGGTTCAAAAGTGGCAGCTGCACCTGGCACCTTCGCCCCGGCAACCGTGCCGACTGCATGGCGAGGCGCCCTACCGCGGCCAAAGAGCCGCTTAGGTATCCCTTAACCTAAAATCATACCAAGGGTCCCTATATACAATTTAACGTATATATAACCACCCTTAAGAAGGGGGTATTAGGCTGTCTGATGAGAAGATGGCAGGGCATGCTCGTATACGTTGCCGATGTGTACCGAGCCATTTGTCAACGGCATATCTGGTGCGAACACCGCTTCAGGCGGTTTTCGGCAAACCTGGATAGGCCTGGTGCCTTTCCACATTCTGACACCGGCCCAGAAGAGTGGCTTCCTACAACAGAATCGAATTTTTCAACTTAGTACCACTAACTCGAGGGCCCTTGAGATACCCCTTAATTAAGGAATATACCTGAAGTCATATAATGATCCGTTATGTGCTTTCAGGTATATAGGGGTATTGGGCTCTTTGGGAAAATGACATAGACCGAATCAGAATATGATTGCGCCAGCCACTGGAGGCATTCGTAAGCATGCGGGCCTTTTCCAAAAGTCGTGGTCCCCATGTAGAATTCAAAGATGCAGCCAGTCCTTTGTTCTGAAACGCTCCAAGAAGGGTATCCCCCTATTTCCTGTTCCCCCATTTAACACGCCGTTCCGAAGCTCATCTTCGACCATCTACCACAGCGCCGTAAACCCTAAACCCTAAACCCTAAACCCTAAACCCTAAACCCTAAACCCTAAACCCGAAACCTCACCCCCCCCCCCCCCCCCCCCTCCCCCTCAAGGAGGCTGCTTTTTTCCAGTCCGTCGTCGCTGTTGCGAGTCTCTGGATCTGGGCTGTCCTTGGCCGATTTCGAGGGTGGTGTTCAGAGACCCCAGCCTCCCAGCGATTCGGGTTTAGGGTTTAGGGTTTAGGGTTTAGGGTTTAGGGTTTAGGGTTTAGGGTTTAGGGTTTAGGGTTTAGGGTTTAGGGTTCAGGGTTTAGGGTGCGAAGACTATGCGATAGTAGCTACAGCAGGCCTCGAGGCTGGAATTGAATTTCTCGACATCTTCCCAACCCATAAATCCTGAAGCCAGTTTTGCAAGGGAGTCATACTCGGACCGCCCTCCAAGGGGTTCACCTTAATGCACTCCGAATGTGGCCCTGATACTCCCTTAGAGGATCTGTGAAAAAGGGTCCCCAAACCCAAGGGTACAACCTCAAGGGGGCCAAGGTGGAGTACCATAATTCTTACCCTTTTTGCAACTGGACTGCGGACAACTGCCAGGAAAGGATACCAAGCTCGGCTAAAACCCTGTACGTTAGGGATGATTCTTACCCTAAACCCTAAACCCTTTTTCTACTTGAGCCCTAAATCCTAAATTCTAAACCCTAAACCCACAACGTGGGAAGGACTGAGCCAGACGCTGAGCCAGGGCCACGAGCACAGGAGGAGCCAATTGCGTCCTCATCAACACATGGGGGGGGGGGTGGTGGCTATGACTAGTGTTTAGGGTTTTTAGGGTCTCGGGTTTAGGGGGGCCCCTTTCTGAAACCCCGGTAGTTTCGAAAGCGACAGCAACTGGAAAGATAGAGCCAGGGGGTCAACTTGATTCTTGAAATTCTTGCCCTGAGTGGGGGTTCACCCAGAATGAATGATCCATTGGCCCAACACCTTGGGATTTTCCTAGGGTTTTCCGAGTCTCCATGGTCCCATCTGTTTCTGTAAGCAGATGTATGTGTGTGTGTATGTAGGTGTCTGTATATTGTATTCATATTTATATTTGTATATATATATATATATATATACAGTACAGTAGAGACATCAACCGAACTGGTTTTCAAGTCCTCGCTAGGCTTCCGAAATTAGGGGTCCTTATTGGGGTTCCTATTATAAGGGAATGCTACTATTTGGGGGACGATTTTCAGGGGCCCCGTATTTTGTAAACCTCCCGATTGTGCCAGAGCTGCTATGTTTTCTACCAGAGCACAGTAGTGCCTGCCGCCATTCACCCTGCTAGAAACTTAGCCCCAGCAAAAGCCCACGGTCGTCTTTTGAACCCTCAACCATAGAGCCCTACACCCGATAGCCCTAAGCCCTGTAAAGCCCTATAAAGCCCCATAACACCCCTTAGCCCTATAAAGCACTAGAAAACCCTAAGCCCTCAGCCTTACAAAGCCCTATAGTACCCTGAACCCTAAGCCCTAAGCCCTAAACCCCTAGCCCTAAGCCCTAAACTGTTAATACCCTGAACCCTACACCCTTAACCCTAAACCCGAAACCCCAAACCCTAAACCCTTAACCTACAAGGCGGCGGGGCGCCTCTTGTGACATTGCGTGGGGAAAAGTCAGGTCCTGGGAGCCGCGGCGACGGGCGCGCACGGGTTTTGGGGTTTGTTTTTTTTGGATTTGGGGTTTAGGGTTTGGGGTTTAGGGTTTGGGGTTTTGGGTTTGGGGTTTGGGGTTTGGGGTTTGGGGTTTAGGGTTTGGGGTTTAGGGTTTGGGGTTTAGGGTTTGGAGTTTGGGATTTAGGGTGTGGGGTTAGGGGTTTAGGGTTTGGGGGTTAGCGGCTTGTTCCCGGATCTTCCAGAGACCCCTTAATTAAGGAATATGCCCTACTTTTATACTATAAGGATCATGATTCTGAATTCGGGCATGGTCCTTAGTTGAGGGTTTTGGAAGAGCAGGGTTCGCTTCACGGCGACCAGAACAAGTAGAAGGTTCTTGGGGCTCTCCCCTAGTTGGCAAGACTATACTTCGGGCTTCCTTCTGGGGGCCTCCAGCCGACATGATTCGCAACATAGCAGGGGCCATCAGGAGGAAACATATTCTTGTTTAGGGTTTAGGGTTTAGGGGTTTAGGGTTTAGGGGTTTAGGCTTCTTCAGATCCTGTGGCGGCGGAATGCACCAAGGCTCGCACAGCTTCCCTTTGATGCGCTCGTACGCAAAGACACAGATCGTAAGCCTCCGCACTCAGGCCCTACACCCCACGCACATCTGCGAAGCCTCCGGTGTGGCAGCTTATGCAGATCCTTTAGAGCTGTTGCAAGAGCATGAGCTAGAGCACATTCTTAGTACCAAAACCCAAAACCCGTAAACCCAGAAAACCAAACCCGTCCTGAGGCCGAGGCATGTGACGCGAAAGTGTTTGCACTGTGCAAGCCACAAGAGCAAGAACTTGCTAATAATAGCTCATCCGCAGTCAATCAAGAGTGCGATTCTGTACTGTCATCATCCAACTATCGGGGACTACAGAAAAAGAGACCAGGACTAAACCCTAAACCCTAAACCCTAAACCCTAAACCCTAAACCCTAAACCCTAAACCCTAAACCCTAAACCCTAAACCCTAAACCCTAAACCCTAAACCCTAAACCCTAAACCCTGCACCGCTCTCACTGCCGCAACATCACGCAAGATGACATCCATGAGTTCGCCGTCACACATGACCTAATATTTGCTTAAGAACCCACAAAAGAGTAAACAAGTAATGATCCCTATACTACCCTTCATAAGGAAGAATATTATTAGTTTTCCGGGGGTTCTTAAGCCACTAGAAGCGACATGAAGAATGTGCATGCCGCCCAGCATGTGCAGGTATCGCAAGCGGTGAGGACATCCCCCAATCAAGTACTGCCACCCGAAGTCGGAATCAAGCGAAATACAGTAGCACGACTCGCTACCATTGCCAGCATCGCCGGGACATCACGCAGCAAGGAAACCCGTGCGAAACCACGCCATTGTGGCTCTTGCTGCATCTCGCCAGCTAGCCCACGGGTGAGCATGCCCCAAAGGCGCAGTCATGGCATGGTTTAGGGTTTAGGGTTTAGGGTTTGGGGTTTAGGGTTTAGGGTTTAGGGTTTGGGGTTTGGGTTTAGGGTTTTAGTATCCGCAGACGGATGCCCTTCCCTCAGTTCCTCTATGTCGCACCTCCGAGGCATCCGTGGACCACCCAAGCATCCCGAAACTTTCCCAAAGGGTCCCAAGTACCCATATGGGGGGACACTTACCCAAACCCTAAG